AGGGAAGATACCCAGGAGTAACACAAACACTAAGGTATGCAACTTGAAGCGTAATATATGTGTACTGGTTGTTTTACTTTGTATTTTCAGATTCCACTTCATCCTGTAATAGACAGTTTGGTACATGATGTTATTAACTTGGCTTTCAAGCACTTTAAATACAAAGAAGGGTAAGGCTCTTTTTCACACAAAATTCTATTAAAAAAATAATTTCCTGAATTTTTTAGTTGTAGTAGTTTAAGCAGGATGCTTTCTCAGCCAAGAATTCTTTCTTGTTTCTTGCTAGGTACCTTGGTCCTAACACTGGAAATATGCACATCGTTGCAGATTTGTATGCAGAAGTAATAGGTGTCCTAGCTCAAGCAAAGTAAGTAAAATTGAATACCATAAATAATGGAAATCTGAGAAATTCTACTTGCTTAGCATATGAATATTCTGATTTTCTCACTTTCTTAAAAGATGGTGTAAGAAAAAATCATTTCAGCTAGCCGGCCCTCTGTTCATGTAGGTGTTCCAGAGCACAGAACTCTAGGGAATTACAGGCTTTCTGCATCTAGTCCAGTGATACCAAGTAAATTCAACTAGACTACAGCAGCATTATTTTCCTTCTCTCAGTGATGACGTCTGTGGAAAGCCCAAAGGGCTGAAGAGAACTATTTTAATTAATCCTTTTTCTATATGCTATTTTTTCTCTAGCTGAGCAAACCTAAAAATTGCTATACTCCAACATAGCAACGTTTTAAAGTTTCTCTGCAGTTATGTCAGTTTAGAACTTAATGCAACTTCTTCTGAATCCTTCATCCTGCACTTCTTAGCACAGATGGCACAGTAAAGATGGAAAACACTTTGCGGAGTCAGGTCTTAAATTTTGAATCTGGAAGCAGACAGATTCAGAAACTTACGTACCCAACATGATGTCTCAACATTCACTTGCCACACAAACTAAGCAGAGGGTGAAATTTACTGCCTCAACGTAGTGGTCTCTGTCTCCTGACTTCTTGGTGTTGCTGAGAGCAAGTCTGCTCTATAAAATCAATTAACTTAACCAAACGTAATTTTTTAGTTTGATGTAGCCAAAACATTTTCAGTTCCTGGAAATCATATAACTTTTGTAGGCTTCAGCTAAGGTCTTACCTGGGCTTCTGAATCGGCTGCGTCGAAGGCAAAACGGGAATTGACATCTGTGTTCAAAGCTTCAAGTTGACTGTCAAAAATAAAACATATCTGTTCTTTATAAATACAGTTTTTCTTCTTCAATTCTGAAGGGCCTTGCTAAGATGTTACTAGCACTACCACTGAAAGTCTTCTTCCTTCCAACCTGTTTCTTTCAACTCTCCTGCATTCCCTATCAGAGGCAATAACAAAAGGTTGTTACGTGCTACACCTGCCCATGAAAATGGCATTCTTTTTATTTTGTGTCAAAAGGACAGGAGGTCCTATTGTGTCATCTTCCTGTATGATATTTTTATGGACAGTGTGTCTCAAAAGATACCTCTGACAGACTCATGGCTGGGAGGTGTCAAAAATAGTCACAGACCTCCCCATCCTGTGTTGTTGTAGTTAGTACTTAAGTGTTACAGTAGTGGCTGTTAGAAAAAAATGAAGGGAGGAACAGCCTATCTGAATATTTTCGTGGTTATCATTTAAGCATTTTCTTTTGAAAACATTGCATGTACTTGCAAAAAAACTATCTTTCATCCTGGATTTTTTAGGAACTTGTGAGGGGATTATTCTAATGATATTGTTAGCTCTTTTGTAAAAGAAGGATGCGGTAAGAAAACAATTGGAAAGATGTGGTTATCCGAAGAGACTAAGATCAAATTATACACTCCCTTTTCTTTTCTGAGTTTATTAGAAGTGAAAGAAAAGTAAAAATGAAATCTATTCACATACTGACTGACATGGTATTTTACAATCGAGGCTGAATCTTTGTTAGGTTTTTCCCCATTTATATACTGTACAATACATTTAAAATACTAATGTATACTGTTTTGTAACTAATCAATGTGAATTCATAGATTTCCTGCTGTAAAGAAGAAATTCATGGCAGAGTTAAAAGAGCTACGGCATAAAGAACAAAGCCCATATGTAGTTCAAAGCATTATCAGTCTTATAATGGGAATGAAATTCTTTCGCATCAAGATGTATCCTGTGGAGGACTTTGAAGCTTCTCTTCAGTTTATGCAGGTAAAATTCTTTAGTATATAACTGTGGTTCCCAGACCTTTTAGAATGGGCTCCCCTTCATGTTTCCTGGAGATCTCCAGGAGATTTTCCGTGTCTCGGCCCCACATAAATGTATGTGCAGCTACTTTTTGTTTGTTCTGAACCTCAGCGCTCAAGTCTCCAATCTCTGGAGTGTATCATTCCATGCCAACTTTTCATCAGTTGTTCACTCTTAGTCCCTACATCTCACCCTCCAACAAAAAGAATTTTGGTTCTGTAGATCCCAGACCTTCCACCCTGCCATCCCACAGCCGTTCCTTGCCCTGTGTCCCTGCCTAGCTATGTCTCCCTAGCTACTCACTGCCTCCAAAGTGAATCTTCCACTATTGACGTAGTTTCCTGAGAGCTGAGGAACTTCTGATGAAGAAAAGCACAGAGGAAAAGAGAAAGAATTGATGCAAAAGCTGGGTGAAATTTCCCTTGGATGTGTTGTCTCCTTCTACCACACCTTCACCCCCCTTCCTGTAGAGTGCAGATACCCACCTGGTTTGAGAGCATAGTTTGACTGTCAAGAATGCTTTAAATTAACAGATTACATCATTTTGTAAAAGGAAAGAAAATCTTTTATGTTCAAACATTTTTAAAAGGCCACATTTCTTGTTGGTAATATGCAATGGGTTCTGTTCCATCAGCAGGTTTATGTAGCTTAACCTTTTTATTCCCTTTTTTTCTTGGGACCACCCTCATGGCTACACGGTTTGTAGCCAGTCATCCAGTAAAATACACATTTTATGTAAACCTCCACATAACGATCAGCTTATTGATGGTATCAGTGGAGTAAAAACTCAATGTTAGATGGCCACAAGTAAGGATTTGATGCTGGAATACAAATACATATGCATACAGACACACGGAGCCATTTCTCTAAGTCCTGAACAGGAATCACATTCTATTTCATTTTTACAATGTGTTTCAAACTGTATTTAACAACGTATTTAAAACATACTTAACAACACAGAAACAGCTCATTTTCCTTCCTACCTTACACTTCATTATATGAACACATCTGAGTATGTGTTGACTTAATGTAAGTTATCCAGAACTGGCAAGATATCACAGTAGTGTGTGTTCAGTGCATGTGACTAACATGAGTGAATGACTTTGTGGCACAGCTTTATGGCACAGCACTGCTGGGATCCAGTGTTCACTGGTATGGAAACCAGCGGTAAAGCTCCCATATAGTAGACTCAAAAATTGGATGCAAATGATCTCTACCTTGCTCATCACTACAGTATCTCAGCACCAAATTAATTCCTATATATACTACAATGCATATAAAATGCATGCTGTATGTAGGAAAACCAGTTTTGCTTAGTTTGGTGAAATACACTCACAGTTTGATTCTGTGGGCGATTTGTCTGTTAGTTTGAGTATCTACATGCAGTGCCTCAGCTACAGGCTCTGTCACACCAGCTCTGCTCTGGTAGAGAGAGACACCTTCAAAGGGTGAGCTAATCTCAGGAGCGAGCTCCAGAAAAGCCTGGTTTTGACCGCGGGGTGCAGAAGCAGCCCAGGAAGGCTACTGACTTTGCACAGGGACCTCGGCTGCGTGGCAGAAATGGCTAGAGGGACTGAAGCCATGTGGTGTAGAATCCTGACTGCAGCCAGGAAAAATTATGCACGGTCGAAAGTGTACACAGCTCTGCACGCATGTGCAGGAAAAGCAGTCAGTGGAGAACATCCTTGTAATGTCAGTGTCTGTTTGGGCCTTGGACCCAGAGAGGGAGAAGTAACTGGAGAAATATGCTTTGTCGTCCTCAGAGAAGTTGTAAAGAAACATGAAAGTGGGTGGATGCTTATCTCCCCTCCCGCACTTCCTGAGCAGCACAGCTGTGTGGATAGTAGCTCACTGCATGTTTAGGACAAAAGTACATTTTTACTTTCTCTCTCAATCCTCAGTTGCAGGCTGGAGATTGTGGTGGTTTTCACCACAAGTCTCTTCCCTCACATAGCACAGTTCTGTATTGACCCTTAATCCGCGATGGATCCTAGCAATGCAATTTATCCAAACTATTTACAGTAGATTGTTCCTTCTCTTGAGTATCTTACAGAGAAGCACATTCCTTTTCTGGCCTCCCAGAGCATTCTGTAAAGCAGTCCGTGTGGGCTATTTCTCCTGCTCCTGAAGGTATATTCAGAAGGCAGGGAAGTGATTCTGCCTCTCTACTCAGCTCTCGTGAGACCCCACCTGGAATATTGTGTTCAGCTCTGGAGTCCCCAGCACAAGAAGGACATGGAGCTACTGGAACGAGTCCAGAGGAGGGCCACGAAGATGATCAGAGGGCTGGAGCACCTCTGCTATGAAGACAGGCTGAGAGAGTTGGGGCTGTTCAGCCTGGAGAAGAGAAGGCTCTGGGGTGATCTTATAGCAGCTTTCCAGTACCTAAAGGGGGCCTACAGGAAAGCTGGAGAGGGACTTTTTACAAGGGTGTGTAGTGATAGGACAAGGGGCAATGGATTTAAACTGAAAGAGGGCAGATTTAGGTTAGATATAAGAAATAAATTCTTTACATTGAGGGTGGTGAGGTACTGGAACAGGTTGCCCAGAGAAGTTGTGGATGCCCCATCCCTGGCAGTGTTCAAGGCCAGGTTGGATGAGGCTTTGGGCAACCTGGTGTAGTGGAGGATTTCCCTGCCCATGGCAGGGGGGTTGGAACTAGATGATCTTTGAGGTCCCTTCCAACCTTAACCATTCTATGATTCTATGATTCTATATACGGCGAAGGCATGAGGTCAGCCCCTGAGTCCAACTTCCTTTCCATCCTCAGAACACCACCGGGCACAGCTGGAATCAGTGGAGAGTTTGTGGATTGTCACAGTTAGAGTAACAGACACTTGATCTTGACTTATGTCCTGCTTTGTCCTTGCTACAGAGTGCAGATCTAGAAGTTAATAGACAAACATTTTCTGTGGGATTTGCGAAATAAAAATAGTTTCTGACATTTGATGTGCATTCAGCAAACATTTAGAGGTCTTTATTCCAGCTGATACGCAATTTTTATTTCTTGTTTTGTTTTGTTTTAGGAATGTGCACATTATTTCCTTGAAGTTAAAGACAAAGATATCAAGCATGCACTGGCAGGACTATTTGTTGAAATTCTTGTCCCCGTAGCTGCTGTGAGTTTATTTTTCAGGTTGTTTGCATAATTTCTTTAAATTGGATAAACAGCTTGTGAAATAGTGTTTTATTAACATGAAATTTTCTTTCAGGCTGTTAAAAATGAGGTGAATGTCCCCTGTCTGAGGAACTTTGTTGAAAGCCTGTATGATACAACCCTTGAACTTTCCTCACGAAAGAAGCACTCATTGGTTAGTAACTCAAGATGCAGAGGCTAAAATTCTTTGTCAGAAATGTCTCTGAGCAAGACTCTTGGGAAATTGAAAAACTTTATTCTGTGTTCAGCTTTATAAGCAATACATTTCTATTTGCATAGAAGGTTATTGTGTTTGCAGAAAATAACGGTATTTATTTTGTTCAGAATATGATGTAAATCAGTCTGAATCAAACAGATGTTTTCAACTTCTGTTTCTGTGATTATTAAATGGTTAGCTTTTCTCATACTTGTTATGTGTAAACCTTAGGAGGAGAGGAGAAAGAGTAGAGTTCACTTCTTGTCAAGCGAGAACAAATGAGGCATGTGGGAACAACTCTTTCACGGGGCTTAAATAATACATTGTAGGAACGAAAAAATGTATAACACATGCCCTTTTAAATCTGTAACTTGGCTACTGTGCAGCTCCCTATTTCATTTTTTTCTTGTGAGATGAACAGTGGCATTGCAGTGTATTTTTGGAAGCATGAGTTGATCTGAATTAAATGAGGATCTGAGTCAGTTTGACGCTGGCTGCCTTAAGCAGTCTGTCTCTCCAACTGGGTCAGCGCACGTCAGCAATGTGGTGTTAGCTAATCCATTTTGAAGTCTTGGACCTTTTTAGTAAGGAAAGTTGTCGTTTCTCCTCCCTCATTCTATGGGAAAGTCAAAAAGACTTCCGTGTTCTCAGCACTCTCTGCAAATGCTGGTCACTAGCACTAGTGAATCTGCTGGGAGGACTGCAGGAGTGTACTTGAGCTCTCTGCTGCCGTTACACCAGTCCCAGGGGAGAGTCAGTCCTGATCAGGTTTGAATTAGTGGGACTCTTGGGATGGATTTCTCATTTCACTCTGCTTGTGTTTGTGTGGCTCTGTTCCACTCTGCCGAGTTAATAAAACATTGTTGAAACTGCAGCAGGGTACGAGCTTTGCTGAACAGTTTTTACACTAGATAGAACTTCCCCAAACTGGTGGCCGTACTTGCCAAAGTCAATACTATGTGCCTGAGAAAGGATTGCACAGCTGGGGCTTTGCATTTGATTGCTTGTCTACACATACCATGCTGGAGGCTGCATAGTTAAAAGTGACAAAATAGAATAGATTCTTGTGAGGGTGTGATTAGAAATACAAACATTGCGAGGAGGAGGAGGAGGGGAAAGGCAAACAGTTGGCAGAAATAGCTGCAGTGCATATTTTCAGGCTTCCAGGAAGAAAGCACACTCTTTAGAGTCTGGAGAGGACCTTCCTTTCCAAGATCAGTGTTTTGTGAATCGGTGCACTCGCACCGATGGGGCATGCATCTTGCCTGATTTTCTATCTAAAAATGTCTCGTCTGAGCTAGTTGTTGAGGTTTTTTGATAGCGAATGGAGAGAATTAGGAAACTCCAGGAGAGGGTTTGTATCTTCCCTCCTAGGACTCTTCCTTAGGATAGGTTCTAACACTCTTGGGATGTTACTAAACTCTGTGATCCTGTCAAGTACTCAACTGTTATAGTCGTAATGTAAATACAGTAAGAAAGTCTGCTGTAAGAAGACTTCAGTTATCCTCTCCCATATGTATTTTGGACAGGAGGATTATAAAAATAAGAATTAATTTACATTTGCCATCTGCTCAAGAAACTAGGTCCAACATAGCTATAGACAATTTATGTTATTTATTACAGGAACAGAAGTTGGACTTTATAGTGTATTTATACTTTGTGCAGTGACTGAAGTTAGAATTTTAGGATTAATTTTGAGAATCATCTTTCTTTAAGATAACGTTACCTTATTTTTTACTAATAACTTTGAAGTCTTGATTGAGAATATTAACATGACAACTGAAACATAAAAAGTCTTGCTGAAGTAGCAGTCAGTTTCAAAATTAATAGACGCATTTTAGATTATTTTTTTTTAGCGTAACATTTGCAAGATGAATGTCAAAGTAAGCGTTGACAAAGAGACCAGGTTCCAGTATTTGAACTTCTATGTTCTGCCTTGCTTTTTATTTTTCACAACACAAGATGTAACTACCAGCAGATCCACGCATTGCCTGTATTTTAACACAGTTCTTTAGAGTGTTTGACATGTCTCTCAGTAAGTACTGTGACTGCAAATTTTGAGGAGTAATAGGCACCTGAGCATTCACAAGTCCCAACAGTCTCTGTGGGTCCTGTCGTTATGATAATAAAGTTTAGTTATTTCCATGCTATCATTCCTCAGTTTACTAACAGAAATTAGCCCTGTGGGTCTGTGAAATTGTGACCCATCTTTGGATTCATCATACTGCTATAAGCAGACATTTGATTGGTTTTAGTTCATCCATAAAACTTATCTGTAACAACTTTAGAGAAAGGTTCCTTTTAAATTGTACAGCTTAACAATGTGTTTATATTGACTAACGTGTATTGCCCAAAATGGACGAGTCAGAGCTTGAAGTTTACGGTAGCTCTATTAAGTTACTTTTATGTTGTGTATACATGCAAATAATATGGTATCCACATCCATTTCCTGTTTAGGCTTTGTACCCTTTGGTAACGTGCCTGCTTTGTGTCAGTCAGAAGCAGTTCTTTTTAAACAGATGGCATATTTTCCTCAACAACTGCCTGTCCAATCTCAAGGTTAGTGTCTTCTGCTTTCAACATTGTATTAGAACTTCAGTATGCAGTATTCATCTGTTGCAAATCCATTTTAGGTAAATGTACTGAATTATTACTATTATCAGATTCCATACATAATTCTTTAGCTGTGCAGATTTTTTCAATAACAAAAAAAGTATTCTCGTACCTACTTTGAATTTCTACTGTTTCTCCAACTCAAACCAAGCCTGAGTCAAACAGCTGTGAAACAGGCAAGATTGTTGATGGAAGTTAATAGCTCGAGGGACATACCAAAACTGACTCAATATTAACTTGTTTTTTTCACAAAGGCATTCTCAAACAAAGCACTTGTTATTATTTTATCAGAGTGGAACTAGTTGTGGGACACTGATTCCGTTGCCTGTTTCACTCTGTTAAGTTGCATTAAAAAAACCTAAACTGTTTTAAGTTGATTCCTCCACGTATACATTCTTATTCCTTTACCATTTGTTAGATCTTTGTAGTTGAAGACTAACTGTCCACTGCAATCTACTGTGGTTCCTGGCCATCATACACTGTTCAATACACATGCTAGTTAACATTGCTGCTCCTCCATGTTTCTTTTACTCGCACAACAACTCATGTCCCCTTCCACTCTTAAAGTGGATCCATACGAAAGGATGGTCCTATGCCTACCTGAAAAGGCCGATGTAAGAAGCACAGTGAAGTGGTTACCTCAAATGAAGGGCCTCCAAACTGCTGCTTGATGAACCAGTGGTTAGGAGGCTTCTGCAAATGGCACAGGTAGAACACGCAGCCACTTTCTCAGCTCAGAGGCAAACTGTGGAGGGAATCTCTGTTCTCTAAAAGTTGTTGAATTCCCAAGCTTGTTGACAAAGTATATATTATTTATATATAATAAATGGTACTGGGCAGCTGTGAGGCTGTATCTTAATGTAGTGTCATTACGAAAACTCTAAACCATGACATCCATTAAGTGCAGAACTTCCTTTCTAATTTGTGCCTAAATTTGTTTATTCTTATGTTATGTATTTCTTTAGAATAAGGACCCAAAAATGGCTCGAGTTGCACTGGAATCTCTGTACAGACTACTGTGGGTTTACATGATCAGAATTAAATGTGAAAGCAACACAGCTACCCAAAGGTAAGATGCTATATTTGTCATGATAATCAGGCCTTGTAGAGTCGATGTTGCCAATGAAGAGTTTTTATAGTTCTCCTGAACTCCGTTGAATTGAACCTATTCCTGTTGTGAAATAAAAAACTCAACTGTGCACAACAAAATATTCCCTTGAGCGGCACCATCGGTTATTCTGCCACCTGTTAAAATTACTGTGTAAAGTGTTTCTGCTTTTGGAGGAATTGAAAATCACTCTTTACCTAGTTAAAGTTAGATGTATTTTTGTAACGGCATGTCATTGACCAGTTTATTGTTACTTGTTATGCAGAAACGAAATAAAATACGCTTAATTTGTAGCAAAGGATCAGAACAAGATACCCCATTACATTTTCATTTCAAAGGAAATACTTTCTAGCCTTTCTAAATGGAATAGGATTTCCAACTTACGTTTCCTGGTAAGTGAAGGTCTGCAAGGTCCGGAAATGTCTAATGCTTTTTTTCCTTCTTTTACAGTCGGCTTATTACTATTGTCACAACACTTTTCCCAAAAGGGTCCCGTGGTGTTGTACCAAGAGATATGCCTCTAAACATCTTTGTGAAGATAATACAGTTTATTGCACAGGTATAGGAGAACCATGCATATGTCTTTCCAATTGATGAATAACTTGTTTTCCCAATAACAAATCAACAAAGAAGAAAACTTCTATTGTCTGATTTTTTTTGCAACCCCTTTGTCAGTATCTTTCATCTAGGCAATGATAAAATTATAGATCGAGCTGTGGCAGACTTCTTCTGAACAACAGGTTTTGATTAACTTTATTCCACTTAAAATGAATAAAAATATTTCCACTTCAACTCAAATGTAATTTTTTTCAGTTTTTGGAATTGCCAGCAAGTCAGAAAATGCATTTGTTGACAGACTCTGACTGTCAGTAAAGTTCAGAATAAAAAGCCGTGTTTTCTCCTGATACTGAATCATTCCTACTGTGTGAGACAATGAGTACAATGAGTTGCACTGCTTTTAGAGCAAGAAGTCAGAGGGAAACCGAGTTCAGCATGGAGGTGACACATTTAGTTTTCATCAATTCAAATGGGAATTGCTAAAATAAACTAACCTTCAGTGCTGGAAGTTTCGTCTTTTATTACTTAAATTCAGAAAACTCCCATTGAGCAAAGCACTTAAGCACATACTTAAAGTCTCTGAATAGGAATGAATTAAACAGATGCTTAAAATCTTCCCTGAAATGTGCCATCTGTGGACAAGCTCCTTTTATATAAAATACTACGTTAGTACCATAATTACCGCAGCTTAAATGAAATAATTAAAAGCTTTATTTATAAAATGGATCATGTTTTATTTAAATGCTATGAATTTTTGAATTTGTCAACATACGGCAGTGTTGAAAGCTTAGATCTGATAACACGTTCTGCATACTTCTGAAAATCAGGTTTTCTGTACATTTAAATAATTCCTGATTAAGATGGTTTTCAGCATTCTGTTGCCTCAAAGAAAATAAGTAGCAGAAGCGAGCAGCTTAACGATTTGCAATATTTTTACTATTTTAGGAACGTTTAGATTTTGCAATGAAAGAAATTATCTTTGACTTCCTTTGTGTTGGAAAACCAGCAAAAGCTTTCAGTCTGAACCCTGAGGTATGGTGTGCATCTGCATTTTTTTGAGTTAGTATGTATTGTATTGTGCTACATTTACTTTCTGGTTACATTCTAAGCATGCTTTCACCTTTGTCCACTTTTCAGGCCAGATCTTTAACTTGATTTATTGGATAAATATGTCAGTGGGCTTCGATCTTTGAAATGTCACATTGTTTATGCCTGTCTCGTGTTCCTTGGTGAGGATTATCAAATGTGGTGTAGTGCAAATATATAAAACAAACAAAAAATAAATAAAACTGTTGATAATAAGTATCTCCTTATCACTTTGCTGTTGTTACATGCAATGCCTTAAACTATTTTAATATAAAAATAATTTTTCTGTAACAATTTCAATGTTTGTCAAAACAATTTTACTGAAGAATACATGATCTAAGAGGAATCGAAGATGGTGAAAAGTAATAAAGTTTTACCACTTTAACTAGTAAAGCTCCACTGATGTTAGTGTCACGAGTCAGCTTCCTAGCGCTTTCCCTAGAGAAAACAGTCAGAAATTCGAAAACCTTTTTAAAAAATCAAAATAAAAATAAATGGTAAAATAATGAAAAATACTCGTGAAAATAATGTATTTGCTTATAATTTTGAAAACATTTTCATTTGAAAATGAAGAATTAAACCCATGAAAAATAAAAATCATTTGTGATCATCTTGCAAAATATACCTATATTAATTTTGCAGTATTAAACAGTCATATCTATTCACTAAGATGTCAAAATAGAAAGTTACCTTACAAAAATTATATTTGATATTAAAAAAAAATATGGAAAATTAGATTAAACTTTTTACTGTCAAAAACAGCAGAACTGAAATGCAAGCTTTGCTTTGAACACAGCTTTTATCTTTCTCCAGTAGAGTAAAGAAAAATGAGACAGAATTCTTGAGCAGGCATCCCCACCACATTCTGGGTCAGAGTCACCTGCATCAGTGACTGAGGAAGGTCCTGCAGAGGACATTGTGTATCAGCATTGCATGAAGCCGAGCTTATAGGGAATGGACATAGTCCTTAGCTTCTTGATGAATCAATATCTGAAATGTCATTGTTTCTCAACAACAATATAAGTTTGAAAACAATGAAATCATAGGGCTACTTTTTGATGTAAGTAGACTTTAGTGTTCTAAAAAAATACCCATATTTATGTGAATGCACCTCGGGGAGACTGTAAGTAGGACAGCCTCTGAGTTTTTGGAACACGTTTCTGGGAAACTGAAACATTCTGGTCTTTAAGTCATTGCAATGCAAAGCCTGCAAGTTTTCCTCTAGTGAATTCCCTGAAGACATTCAAGTCACTTAGCTTCATCTTCTGGTGTTTTCGCATTGCAGTTTCGGTGCTGAGCACCATTCCAGAATTTTCGCACAGTGTGGTCAACCAGGCCCTGAGGCCTTTCGAGATAGTTATTGATCTTTTTTCATAATGACCACGTAGGACATCTGTGCTTATCTGAAGGTCCGGTTAAGATGCATCACTAAACTCAAGGTCAAATCCACATGTTTTATCCTGAAGATAAAGAGACAGTGTACTAAAGAAAATACTTAGAAATAAAGTTTAGAGAGGAGAGAGCCCTGCTGATAGTGTAGATATGAATTCACTATTTGTTTCATGGGCATTTTTTGTAAAATATATCAGACTAGTCAATGTAGTAGAGAGAGAGAAAAAATGCTGGCAAATACGTACTCAAAATTTCAAAGTGATTGAAGAATATGAGTAGGATATGATTATTTGATTATGATACTCATTCATCTTCTGAACTTTACAGAGAATGAATATTGGTCTGAGAGCTTTCTTGGTAATTGCTGATAGCTTGCAGCAAAAAGATGGTGAACCTCCAATGCCAGTGACTGGAGCTGTCCTTCCCTCTGGAAACACTCTCAGAGTGAAGAAAACGTATTTGAGCAAAACTCTTACAGAGGAGGAAGCTAAAATGATAGGTCAGTAAGAGAATGGACAATATAGAAACTTGGATGAGAATGAATCTGAAAAAGTCTTCAGTACCTGAGCAGAATAATTTACTATTGTTAAGTATTCAATTGATTTCTTTGTTTCATTTGTTTCATTTTGTTTCATTTGTTTCATTTCCTTTATTGTGCATTCTAATGAAATATATGGTTTAGTTTGACAAGTACTGTTTTTTTTAATTACTTTCAGGAAAAGTCCTCAGTTGTGCTACACAAGTGGCAGCAACCCTGAGTTCTAGGAGGGTTAAGTACACAGATAGTTAAGAAACAGCTTATTTCAGTGCTGAATAGCTGTATTTATTCATGAATATTCATCTTATTAGAAATAGTGCCTACGCTTAGAAAATGTACCAGCCTTGAAAACCATCAAAGATTCCTTCAATACCCTCATTTTAGTTGCAGTGTCTCACTTTTCTCAAGTGAAACTTTCAAAATGGCAGAAACTTTTAAATGTAAAATAAAGCTGAACTGAAGTGCCTAAGTTAAAAGTGCTATTACCTTGGGCTTCCTTTGTGGTCAATGTAGAGAGAGAATCCTGTGCTGGGAGGAAAGAGCTGCTGTATCATGCCCTGAAGGTGCTTGTGTTTGCTGGCAAAAAAAGATAATTTGGCTACTCACCCTAGCACTTTACTAAGTCCTCAAAGTTGCATGAATGAAACAAAGTCCATGTATTTCTACACCAGCGCCGAAGACCTGTGTTGTACTGTTGCTAGATCGTTGCAGTAATATCAAGAAAATAAGCAACGTAATTCCCACTGCTGTTGAAACGTACAACAGACGTAGTATTTAGTGCTGTCACTAAATCAGTTCATTTTCCTTACTCCTCATCATGCATTTGATAATAAATGTTTGCACTGTTGAATTCTTGTATTTTATTAGCAATTTCTTCACTATTTTATGATACAATATTCTGGTTTCTATATATAACATGTAAGATTAAGCTAGGCAATTCCCGTGTTTTCTTTTGCCTTCTACTCTGCCATTAAACTTTTGCTCATTTCAGATCTCAAAATTTATGTCCTTTTGAAATTTTAAGCTTACATTGTGTTTATCAAATAAGAAGAGAATTGACTAGAGAACAGATGACTAAAAATATATTGTTCAGTGTTATTATATAAAATTTCATTAAGAAAAGAAAGATTTTAGCCTTTGATCAATATAGAAAAAGAGTTAATTCAAATTTTATTTTTGAAGTATTTGATGTCCATCAGTTGCTGTAAAGCTGTATGTCTAAAATTACTTTTCACATAAAATGTCATGCCAATAATTTCCATACCAAATAAGTTTTAGGAGTGCTTATTCAGATTCCTTTCTTCTCTTTACCTGTAGTTTTTAAACCCTACTACTGGATCAGAGCTTTTACTTCTGTCATGGAAAGTCAAAATTACATTGTATAACTTGGCAAACTGTGTGGCTTCATTTGGCTATGTAGGGACATATTTTGACTAGATATTTTTTAAGTTTTTCTCCGGGAAAAGTATGTGTGTATATATATCACTTGGGCTATTTTTACATACAATAGCATTCTTTTTGGAGAGGACAACATATTCTGTCTCTGAATCAGGATATCATTACTAGTGGAATATGCTGTCATATGAGGAAAACATTCTTCTTAATTCATGCAGCACAGCATGAGTAGGCAGCTTTCTTTTTCAAAGTATACATATCTATAAATATCTCAAATTATACAAAAATGCATATTATTGCAGGTATGTCATTATATTATTCTCAAGTAAGAAAAGCCGTGGACAACATACTCAGACACCTTGACAAGGAAGTGGGTCGGTGCATGATGCTAACCAACATACAGATGCTTAACAAAGAACCTGAAGATATGATTACGTGAGTGCTAAAGAACAGTTAATCTCATAAAATATTTAAATGTGATTTCAGAACTTTTGATCTATTTCTGTCATGAGTCATCAGAGAAACAGCAAGAAACAGGAACATTTAGCTTAGTTAGTATATGCTTTGAAAAACTGTTTATGACAAGTTGATTGCACTTCTTTGCATGTTGCCATGTTTGGAATTGAACTCATACTGTTGATGTCCCTTCCAACCCAAACCATTCTATGATTCTATGATGTAGCCAAAATCATAAGTGAATCCTATGAATGTTTAGATGGTAGAAGTTGAAAGCAGCCCAGAGTGGAAAAGCTGTCAGCCTACGCTCAGAACACTGTTTCAGGGTATATTTGCATCACTGAACTTCAAAATGAATACAACAAATTCTGTAAATCCCTATTAATAATAATCTTTCATAATTCCCATTACTATTCATGCCTGTAATCCAAATCAAATCTTAATTAAAAACTCAAGTCATTTTGTGATAAGAGTTTTGGATTTAAGCAGTACCCCACTGGAACAGAGTCAAACCAGTACATCTCAAGCAGTGTTGAACAGCAGCATTTCACACTCTCATCCAGAATTATTAATGAAGGAAGTTTCCTCATAGTGGACATGAAGTGGACATCTAGTAGATTTTAGAGACACAGAGACATCAGTTGATGCATGCAGAGCATGGATTGTAGAGATCCCAACTGTTAAGCAGACTTTGCATATCTTTCCTGTTAGGAAAGTGGACATGGTAGTTATGCTAGAAGAGAAACAAACCCTTGAAAAAAGTTTGAGGTGTAATGAAAAGGACATTGGTCTCTTCGAGATTCTTTTTTTTTTTTTTTTATCGACAGTATGTAAAAAACCACAACTTACTGAAAATGCCTGAGTGGTAGACAGCCTGCAATGGCTGGCCAAATTCAAATACCTTTTGCAGCTGATATAATCTTTATGTTTTAATTTAATTCCTCTGCCCTTATTGCTGTAACTGCATAGATGAGATTGTAAGCGCTTTGTGTCTTTAGCATTGTTTTACTTCATTTATATTAAATGCTGATATTACTGTCCAATAATATTTCATATTTTTTTTCTTATAGTACTACCTAGTGTACTGCTTAGTACTCATAGTCAGTTTTCATAACCATTTCGGTGTCCAGGCTTTTGTGAGAGGGAAAGTGTTTTTTTTCCCATTTTATTCCCAAAAAGATAATTGCATAGTGAAACCTTGAGCACTTAGATAAGAGGTGTACTTAACCTTAGCTGTAAATTTCCTTTCTATCGTTTCTCAGCATGACCACAGTGGTCTTTATTTTTAGAAGTAGCAAACAAATATACTTAAAAGAGTTAAATTTCAGGAACTCTTATGGTTTGGTAGTAACTTTTGTCAGAGACATAAATATTGTAAGGTTGGAAGATCTAGACATGTAATTTATTGAATTTTTGTGTTGTATTTTATATCTAGATGAGCTATAACTTAATATACACACTTGAAAGGAAGAACGCGTTAGAACATATTTTCACTTGTTTTTCCAAGGAAAAAATATATCTGAGATGCTTTATTATCTGAACTCATTAAAAACATCATTAATCGCTACTATCAGCACTTAAAATGACCCTTTTAAAAACTACATTGTGCATGATAACTGGAAAAGCCAATATATTCGTTTTATGTAATTGCTTATCATTTTATTCGCAGAACTTAATGCTTCACTAGAGTTACATATTTGTTTTGAGTTCTTATGTGCTTTAATACATAGATACAGCACTACATTCATCTATATTTTAAAGTTATGGCTTTTGTCATATTTGTATACAGTTGATGTTATTGTATAAACTGAATATCATAATGATGTTTTTAGTAACAAAATCAGAATCAGAGGGAATTAGATAGGCAATGAATAGTCAAAACATTTTAAAGTATTCAGATTCTGGAATTTTCTTTGGCAGTGTTAGACATGCTTCTGTGTTTAGTGACTGATCCTTTAAGCATTTATTGTTGAAGTAGTAAATGCCGCTCTGAAGAGTCTTACTGAGATCTTGACTAAGGAGCATCCTTTGCATCCTCCACTGGGATATGAATTTCAATACTGGTTATAATTACTTTCCAACATCTAGTCAGAATAGGCCATCCAGTTTTCCAACATACAAACCTGTTTTTTAAGTACTTCAAAGATTTTTGCTGGCAATGCCTAACTAAAATTTGCTACTGCTGGTATGGAAACGCAAGCTTCCAGGTGAGGACAGGTGTCGGTGTGTTCATCCAGAGCTTATCCTGTTGGATTTTGGGTCAACTAGAGATGACTGCAGAGCCCTATGAAGGTCCCCTTGCCAGACACTTGGCATGCTGTGCCTGGTAGCTCAGATAAATTGGGAACTTGAGCCTTGGATCTGGATCTCTGGCTGGTCTTCTGAGCAGCTGAGAAGCCACAAAACACCCACAGGTTTTATATGTACAAATAATTACTCATTTGTCTTCATAACAGTTTCCCTTCAGACTATTCTTTTACTCGCTGCCATTTTAAATGCACGAACTGTTTACCCTTGTCAGGGACTGATAATAAGAAAACTCTGCAAAGTTCACTTGCCACTTCAAGTCAACAAGGAAGACTCATTGGCTTACCTGCAGACAAAATTACTGATAGCACTTTACAACTATAAAAATGTAATATTTTGCAGTGGTTATTAATGCAATCAGTATTTGCATTAGAAATAATAGTTCAAAGTTTATAACCAATTTCTCAGCTGAGATGTTGTATTTTACTCTTTTTCAAGTCAATTGCTGACACCTTTCAAGTTCTATCTGTTAGGATACAGGATACAGGTACAATGAGATAGAGGTAATTCATTGTGAGAATAGTTTCCCCTCATTGTACAATTTCAGTCAGTAGACTAAAATCGTATTATCATATATTTTGTTCATGTAATGCATATCCAAGCTGATAAGTGTATAGAGACTTAAGAGAAAGAATGATATTCACTAAAAAACTGTCTTTAATCTTTGAATTAAGTAAGCCTAGTGTCAGTTTATGCCTTTTCTGTACCATTATTTCAGTATTACTTTAGAAATCTTATTTTAGACTTCTGAGATGGTATTACAATCAGGCTTCTCTGTGACTGAACACAAAAGTAAGGTATCCAAATGCAATGTCCTCTGTTGAGTGGAGAGGCAGAGTAATGCAGTAAGTAGGGCATTGGACTGGAGTGCAGGAAAACCAGGTTCATTTTCTGTTTTGTCACTGAACTTTAGTGTGACGTTAAGTAGCTTACGATACTTCTTGGTGTCTCTCTTTTTCCCCCTTTTCTTTTATAGTTCAGTTGGAAGGATGTTAAAGCAGGAACAGCTTGTCTCTGAATGTTTATAGTTGGGTCCCTAAAGAGGATCTTGCTCTTTTGATTCTTTCAAAGCATATTACAGGCTAATAATTAGTAACATTGTGGGAAAGACTGTACAGTTTGAAATGCTGTTATGCTTTGGTTATTTCCTCTATACTCAATTATCAAATAATAGATCATTAAAAATGAACAGATAAAAACCCCGCGTTTTAGGATCTGTCTGAAGGACTTCTTTAATCTGCATTCATACAAAAAATATTGGAAACAATACAGAAAACAGCTGCATCTGTTGTGAAAATAATCAGCAGCTGAAACTTGAGCTATTTTTAGAAGACTTAAGGACTCCCAACCTAGTTTTTGGTTCATGCTGAACTTTAGACTTAACCACTTTCCCAGGCTGTGAGAGAGCAGTTGAGCCATTCCATAGATCAGAGCAGCCTTGGGGCTGCTAAAACATGTTTTAACTGATAATGGTTGCTAAAGTGCTGCCATCTCAGGCAGGGATCAACAGAAACTCTCTGGTCATACCTACCTCTAAATTATGCTTCTTTTTCAGTGTAATAATGTGTGGGGTGTGGTTTCCACAGATCTATGCCCTATTGAGGGCAACTGTCTGGATCTTCAGTCTTGTTATTTGGGCTTCTTACCTGTCTGCTATTTGCTGTATTCAACTGGTGTAATATAGCTGCACTGTGATGGGGAACCCCAGCTTTTTCCTCATTGCCTCATCCGAAGCTTGCGTCACACAAATGCTGATCTTGATGGGGGAACTCTCCTATATTGTAACTCCATCTTGATAAATCTGCCAGTTCCTTTCAGAGAGAAACAAATGAGTCAGTAATAATTGATCTTTCGAGCACTACATAGATACGATGCATGAAAAATGTCAAATCCGAAACCATTTATTCAATGGAAACATTTATTCATGTTTTCCTTCTTATTTCATTTATATGGTCTAGCCTTCTGTCCTGATGTCCTTACTAGGCCTCTGACACTCCATTATGTCCAGCCCTTTTCTGAAAATCTGTGGGTGGATCATTTAACACAGTTACTTGTTAACCTTAGTCAAAATTCTGGTTTAATTTTTCAGTGGTGAAAGAAAACCAAAAATTGATCTCTTCAGAACATGTGTTGCTGCTATTCCTCGACTGCTTCCTGATGGAATGTCAAAACTTGAGTTGATTGACTTGCTGGCAAGGTAAGCTGTTCAAGCATTAAATGACTGCTCAAGGGGAGCAGAATGAAAAACTGAATGCCTAACTGTTTCTTAGACAAAACCATATGCTTTATACTTATGAAAAGTAATCGTATTAATGGAGAAGACATGGAAGTCCTAGCATCTTTTTACAGGCATTGTGTTTGTATTATAGACTCCTAATTTTATATGAGAGTAGAAAAATCATCCAGAACTCGTTTCCATCAGTATGTAGGTAACATAGTATTCACTGTTCTTCATTATATTCACCATTTATTGCCTGTTTTTAACCATCACAGCATTCTAATTACCAGGAGAGAACATCTTTTCTGTGTAATGAAAAAACATGAAGATATCTGTTTAGTTTTGATTTATGATTTCCACATGTCTGTTTGATAAAACAGAATGTGCTAGATGTGGAATATTTCCAAATACTTTTTAATTGATAATAATTATTTTAATTAAATTATTATTTTTCTATAAGACAGAAAATAAGGAAAAGGAAGAGTTTAAATTTCATATCCTTCCTGCTTGAGGTCCATTGAATTTATCTAGGTAGACTCCACTTCACTAAAGGAGGTAGTCTACAACATGACCGCTAAAACAGTTTAGGTTTCAGGACATCAAATCAGTGACTTCAGATAATTATGATAACAGGTAGTGGTCAGTACAGAAAAGTCTGTTACATTTCAGTTCTGGTATCCAAGCCAAAGATTCCAGCAAGTGTTATTTATGTAAGTGTATTATGGTGGTAAATCAAGCCACAAGGCCCTTGCAGCATATTGCTCTCAGGTAAATATGAGAAAGCATTCTTTGCCACTCCGTTCTTGCTTTTGAAACATCTGTGAGGAATGGCAGGTGTGGGAGTCAGAGGGTTACATGCAAAAGCATTTTTTTCTGCTCTATGAACACCCAACTCCCAGTCATGTGCTAAAACAGTGAAGCAATTAATTCTGCTATCTGTAAAAAGTGCAAACAGCTAAAAAAGCCAAAATTGCCGCCAAGGGTAGGTGTGCTGTGGTGCATTGCCAGTTTCATTTCCTTATGTTTACATCCTTTGCTATAAATCACTTATGGATTGTTTTAAATCATTACATTATAAAATTATTCAGATACCATATTAAATAGTAATATCAGTTCTACTTAAGGGAAATTAAAAATGACATGTTGTCTTTTAATCCAATATTTTAACTAGCTTTCTATCCTTAGTAATGGCCTTAACTGAGCTTGTAGAAAGCACATATCCATTCCGGTCACAGCTCTTCAGTCACAGAGGATCATCCAGGTCAGGCTAGTTGCTAGTCTTAACAAAGTTTGGAGAATAATGTGGATTTCTTCATAAATTGGTGCTTCCCTCCTTAAATCTCACAACTGTCAATATAAACACTGGTCTAGCTCTATTCTGTCATCAAACTTCATGCAGAAAAGGTCAGTTATGATTCATTAGCTACAATCAGTTTGTAAGCATTTCTTGGGTAATTTCCATGCTGGGACAATAGAGGCAGTAGGTCTGCTGGGTTATCTGACTCTGACTGTGAGAAGAAGTGAGACATCAAGAGGAGCTGAGAACTGCATCTCTAGAGCAACTTTGGAAGCAATTACATGCTCAGCCTTTCCCCAACAAAGGGACCTTTGGGAAGCTGTTCTCACTTCCTACATGCAGTTGTACTATAGAATGTTTCAGCCATTGATACTGTTTTAAGTCAGATTCTCAAGTATAAGCAAGGGAAGCACAATTTATGTAAAAGTAAGTGGATGCCTAATAGGCCGGAACACTGTTAACAGACAGCGCGTGGTTCAGGAGATGTATAGCATGGTGTTGAAATAACTGGGTAGAGTCTCAGTGTTGCAGAGCAGGATCACAAACTGAACACACGAAAAAAAGTGATGTTCCTATGAAAAGGCAAATCTTACTCACTTGAATAAATATGAATAAGTCTAAAAGATTTTTGAAAAAGTTCTTCTAGTCTAATCAATATCAAGGATGCCTGATTGGAGCAATTGCTTGGAGCAACGTCCAAGCTCGGGCATTGCAATTGAAGAAGAGACTGACCAGAGAACAAGAGCAAGACAGGTCAGTGGGTTGAAAGAATTAGATCTATTTAGTCTGGGACAGTGTGGACTCAAAACAGTCTACAAAAATACAGCTTCAGAGAAGGAAGTAGTAAACTGTTTAAGGAATTGATACCTGGCTTAAAATCTAAGTCTCCAGACTACCTGGCACCAGAGTTGCTTCTACATTGTGTATATTACGCCATGTTTATTTGGGTCCAGATTGACTACTTCTCCCGGTTATGAAAAAGTAGTCTCAGGAGGTAAGTCTTTGCTGTTCTAGAGAACACTGCATTACAACATTGTGTCTTTTCTGAGTCAGAGACTAACATCAATACAAGGATGAGAAGCTCTGAAGAGGTGAGGTTTCAGGTCCTCTGTGTTTCTGAAAAGAACCTGAGAAACTATTCTGCCAGGGATTTGTGTGGGGCTGTGTTGTTGGGATGGAAAGCGTTTAAATATATTCTTTTCACTAAAGATAAAGTAACATCTTTGGGTTAATGGGTTCTTTTATTCACAGTTTCGTTTGAATTTTTCATCCTTGCAACAGATGTGTCTTTTGGCTTTTTCCAGAAGGAGTCTGTAACTCAGCAGCTAGACTTTCTTCCAGGACAGCTGTATTCAAATTATAAGCCATAAAGCAGATGTCAAGTATATACTGTACCTTTTGCCCTTTCACTGCCCACTGAAACTATTCATTAAAAATCCCCAAGAAGTTCTTAAATTTAACTGACTCAAGTGTAAACAAACAAACTTACATTTATGTGCCTCCTCAAGCTGCCTGTCATATAGTGGAAATGCACAGATGCATTCTTATGCTCAATTTGCATTTCATCTCATTTGATAACGCCGTTGGACAGTACCTTGGGCTTAGAGACATATGTCTTTCGTATCTTCCTTTGTAATACTACGTTGTGTCATTGTGGAAGTCATTTCATGGATGACTTAATCATAGTCTCTGGGATTTTGCTTGTTTTTCTGGTTTTGGCATTCCAAAGAGACAAAAATGGTCCTTTCTTAGCACAAAAAAATGCTGTCTTTCCAAATTTATACAGAAAGTTACGAGGTTATTAAAGCATAACGGTTATTTTTTGAGTCATATTCACCCTGGGTGAAGTTTCATGGCAGTTGCTTTCCTTTGACTGGAATGTCTCCTGCCTCCCAATTAGGCAGCTGTAATGAACCAAATTTGTTATGAGCCGCATCTCATCATACACTTCCAACTGAATGGAATTTGGTTCCACTCCATTTGGCTGTTTGGGGTTTTTTTCCCTAGCTTTCTGTCCACTTCTTTATAATGCATCCTCGTTTTCAAATATGTAGATTAAATGTAGATAAAATACTTGGAAATGAGTTCTAACAATTACAGAAAATTACAGTCTCATGGGTAATAAAAGCAAAGTACATCGTAAAGGCAATGAACCAAAAATTGCAGAACACGCTGATCTGAATTTGCTTTATTCTGCCAAGCTATCAACACAGAAGTGGTTTGGTAATTTTTATGTCAAAAGAAAGTGCATGGAATTTTTATGTTGAGAAGAACTTCAACAAATTCAGGAGGAAAAAAAATTGAAAAAAAAATGAGATGTACAATTGCACCATCTTTCAGAAGGACTTTGAGGGTGTCCAATGTGTTTTTAAAAGTATGGAAAGTCCTGATGCTGTTTTTCCCATTTCCCTATCCTAAGTTTTTTAAAACATGAAGGAGTTTTTTAATTCAAATGCTTCTTTTGATTTCTTTTGAAGATTTGCTTTCAATAATTGTGATTTGCTTCTTGGCTAAAGACTCATTTTAGCTGTTAGGCAGCTGAGGTGGTGTGATTCTTTCATTTTTATATTGGAACTAGACAAATAAATATGTAAATTGTGAAATCAAGTATTAACCTGTAAGCCTTTTGTTATCATAACTAAATAGAAGTTATTTTATGAGTAAATCAAAAGCATATTTGGTTTGGGGAGACAGCAAGGTTGCCAAATTATGTACTTCAAAATACTATCTTTTAGGAGTGAAACAAAGACTTCTTTTGGGTCCATGAATATGTTCAGGCACTTTTATAGCCAGAATTACAGTATAAAAACAGGTTAAGGATGTTAATTGTGGTCAGTAGTAATGAAACCCTGATAGCATAATTGAAATTTATGCTGTCGTTGGGAGTTTTCCATCAGTGTTAAGTTACCGAGAAACACACGCTCCTTACCACAATAAACACTCCTTAGATTTTTGTTACCTGACACTTACTTTTACTTACAGGCTGTCTATCCATATGGATGATGAGCTTCGACACATTGCACAGAATTCTCTTCAAGGTCTACTTGTTGACTTTGTTGACTGGCGAGAGGATGTACTCTTTGGTTTTATTAATTTTCTACTACGTGAAGTGAATGATATGCATCATACCCTTCTTGATACTTCTCTGAAGTTGCTGCTACAGTTGCTTACACAATGGAAGCTTGTAATACACACTCCAGGAAAAGCTTCTGAACAGGCCAAAACCAGATCTGCAGAGGTATGAAATCAAGAGATCTGTGTCCTAACATTTATGCTAATTGAAGGCAGAAATTATGTTCCTGTTGTTGCTGTGGTTTATGTATTTCGTATTTAGTCACCTGAGAAGAATTCACTACGTAAGATTTTTTTAAGGTAATTAGTTCAGCTGCCTTTTGAGGACAGCCATATCCTTGTGTAACACAGCAGATGTTACTGTTGTTGAGCAACGTAAGAGAATGCATGTCAAACTGAAATACGCACATCAACAAAGGCTCATAAAGTGAAATATGTGTATGTAGATGTGGCAGAAGGACGTTTTCCCAGGACTGAAACTGATTGACAGTGCTAGTGGGAATGCTGAGAAGAGTGACATGGATCTTCCCTTCCCATAGCCATTTCATTTGGTTGACTGAAAAACATATCAGAGAACCTGATTGTTTCTACAGCCTGCTGTCTCCTTGTGTTACAAACATTCCTGGGAACTGAACAGCTTTGCTCATGCTCCTCCCATCTGCACTATCCAACAAATAATTTCACTAAGAGGGATGATTTTCAGGCTTCTTGTCTCCTAACCCAATCACATTGGAAATTTTTTCCTTTGGGCAAGCATGATGTCTACTTTATCTCGCAGAGGACCATTAATTAGTAGGTAACAACAGTGTTACAAAAATGCAGAAAAGGGAAAGCATTGCATATTTTTCAGTAAATATTGTTACACTTTACTGAAGGGCAGAGGTTCTAAAGGCCACCTAGGAGGATAAAGTGTTGCCTGCTACAGGATCAAAGGAGGACCTGAGAACCTGCTATCTGGAGTAGAAAAAGCATAAAGTCTTCACAGTCTGACTTTCCCATTCATTTTTTAGTGGAGGGTGGAACAAAGCAGGTAGTTGAATTGCAAACTAGGGGGAGAGGTTTGGCCAAAGGACTGTGCTTATCTATTGGTTTTGTGGAACAAGGTAACTTAAAGCCACAAAACTTGGTTGTTTAAGGGAATGCTGTCAGTCTCCTATTTCAACATTTATATGGCCAATGCATTTTGTTTCTTTGTATGTCCTTGTTAAATAGAATATTTCTTGGAGACCTGGTTTTCAAACACCATCACTCGATTTTCCCCCCTTGCACTGTTCTACAGTTGATACCAAATGGATCCAGCCACAGGATACAGTCTGAAAGAAGCCCCTATTCTAATGTACTACATGCAGTTGAAGGATTTGCACTGGTCCTGCTGTGTAGTTTCCAGGTTGCTACACGTAAACTAGCTGTTTTAATCCTCAGAGAGATCCGTGCTTTATTCCTGGCCCTTGGCCAAGCAGAGGTATGATTTTCTTTTTCTGAAACTTTGAACTAAAATTTTCCAAAGATAAAGCTCAAAACTGCTATTACAGTTGCTTTTAATGTAGTTGCTGCAGTGTAGCAGGTATGCATTTAGTTTATAAAAATACATTTGGTTTGAGCTTACCTTTTCTATTTGCCTTAACACTGCAAACTTTTCTGTGTACTCAAAAATGTAACATGAATAACATGTGTCCTGTACAGGAATATGAAGGGAAATATGAACAGCAACCTAATATTTTCTATTGGCATGATGTGAATGTAAAAGATTGGAAAACCTTTTTTTTTACTGCATGGGTCATTTTTGTATTGTCAGGATTATAAATTTGTATTGGAAATGAAGCTCATTGCTGTAGCATACCATTTTGTGAAAAAAACACAGCATAAGACACGTTCAAGATTGTTCACATACATTTTCCTTGTATAGTAAAGACCTCTAAGTCTTTTTTATGGATATAGGAATATGGAGAGTCATGTTGTCTGTTGGTGATCACAGCTCAGTGAGCCATCTAAATGCCTAAGAACACAAATATGTGTGTTCATGGCAAAGGAATGCTTTAATAAACAGTAAGCTAATTTTTCAGTCGTTTGATACCAGCTATCCAAAGTCATTTGGGATTTTCTGATATGTGCTTTTGTTCAGTAAGCAGTGAGCTAGAGCCACAAATTAACTTAATTTCAAGCCACAGTCTGGACATGGTTCTGAGACTTACATGAAAAAGACAAAATGCACCCGTCATTACTAATTAAATTTTTTAGCTGTTTTAGATTCATGTCAGAATTTTTAGGTGGTTCTATTTCATGTACCAGACAAATAATAAGGAAAATGATTCGGTCGGGAGAGCAGTTAACTTGTGTTCTCTATGTTATGCAGGATGATGACAGGCCTATGATTGATGTCATGGATCAGTTGAGTTCTTCTATTCTTGAAAGTTTTATTCATGTGGCTGTTTCAGATTCAGTAAGTACTACTTTACTATTACTGCTAGTGTTTACATAGCACATGGACATAACAAATATCAGATATGAAATACTAAAAATAAAGCTGCTAGAAATCAAAGAAATCATACAGCTTTAAGGCTCCAGCCATCTACTAAAGAGCTCCAAGGGTCAATGTCCCAGACAATCTTTTCCGTGAAAATAATCATACTATGGATATAGAAGATACTACATAAAAAAAAAAAAAAATTACAACAAAATTTGTAATCAGAAATACCTAGATTCTGGACCTGTGACCTGCATCCAAAAGAACCATTAAGACAGTCATGTTGCCAGCACCACCTAGTGCTTGGGGAGCTTGGAAGTCACTCATCTGTTCCAGAAGGGAATAAGCTTTAGCTCCCTTGTGTGCTCAGAAGTGGCCCTGCCTGCAAATCTAAGCCTAAGCTCTAGAGTAATTCACTGCTGGGGTGAATCTCTGCTTTCACTCTCTCATGGGCCTGATGTGTCTAACATGGCACCAGAGGAAGCAGAGATACAGTAAGCATTTTGAGTGGAAAAAGTATCAGCAGAAGAACTAATGTATAGGGCAACTTGTTTTGCACACTATATTAGAGATTAGCGCCTTTGTCCAGAGAGCAGAAACTATCAGTTTTGGGTACTTTTCAGCCTGATTAAGTTTAAAGCAACAGTCAGTCCTTGCCACATGAGTGGCCTTTCCAGGGGTAGACAAGGGATGTCAAACTGGTGGTGAAGTCGGGCCACTGTGCAGCTGAAAAGAGGAAAGTTGAGGGATCGGAAACTGAGCAAGCAAGAGACGTTCGGACTCTGTAACCCAGGAAGCAGGAAATTCAGCTGAAATAACGGCACCTGGGTTTGGGTGTTGCAGTTTCTATAGGCGAAGATTTGGATTTTGTGCTTTAATTCTATGCATTAATAATATAGCAAAGCAAATGTGTTGCCGCTGTACCTGGTATCTGACAAGTACAGAACAGAGCGGTAATTTAGTGATTACTTTTGTAACAGTGGTTACAGGATTCAGGCAACTCTTACATCCTATTTGAGGTTTTGATGTCTGATAAGTGAATAATAAAGATGCCAAAACACATGTGCTTTAAATTTTCATTCCACAAAGTTGTTTTCTTAAGACAAAATTTAAATGACCATAGAGAAATGGTTTGTTGATACAAGAAGCCTACTTGCCACTGAAGGCAGCAGGGTTTAAAGTGGATTAAAACTGCTTAAGCACCTGCTTCAGCCTCTTAATTCTCTACTCACATATTCAAATGGCCTGATTAATTCTGAAGAATATTTATTAATAGCATTGGTATTTACCATATTGTCATAGCGTGTAAGAGTCTTAATCATGGGCTAAGGCTCAGTCCGGCTGTTCAGACAATGAACATAAGGACAGTCTATAGCTGTTACAGACTGCAGCCTCAGATGAGAGACACTGGATGGGTGCAGGCAGCAAGGACAATGTAACAATGAGATTATATTGGTCAGCATAATCAATAGTTATCGTATCATTTAAGGGCAAATTACTGTGTCTATCTCAGTAAATAGGAGCTTTAAGGAAGAACCAGAGGGGAATGAGGTAGCTCTTACCAGCATTTGTAACAAGCTCCTCCTGAGAGAAAGAATAATGTGACGGGAAGCTTAAGAGTTTTGGTCTGAAAAAGCCAACAGAAGTCAGCCATGGAGCTTGAAAATAGAGACAAGTACTGAAGGGGAACATGGCAGGGAATAAATGACTGTCACTGTGATTTGTTTTTATCTTTTCTCTCCATAGACAACAATCCCATTAACACACAGTGTGGATTTGCAGTGTCTGGTGGAGTGGAATGCTGTCCTAGTAAATAGCCATTATGATGTGAAAAGTCCTTCCCATGTCTGGATATTTGCACAGTCCGTTAAAGACCCTTGGGTTCTCTGCCTCTTCAGTTTTCTTAGGCAGGAGAATTTACCAAAACATTGTCCTACGGCTCTTAGCTATGCTTGGCCATACGCTTTCACAAGACTACAGCTGATAATGCCTCTTGTGGATCCAAAGTAAGTGGCAGTCTGCATTTAACTTTAATTTTATGATTTGTGTGAATTAAATACAAGCTTTTTTTAGTCTCATGTTTTGGTATCAGTCTGTAAGTCCTGCAAGGTGCTACCCAATCATTCAGTTTTGAGTTTCGTAATTGCAACTTGTAAGGTGGAAAACTCTAGTTTAGTACCTTCATTGATTTTTCCCATGTATCATGTCATGTTGAATAGCGGCTGGTGGCTACACAGCGTGTTTTATTCCCTTTTAAAATATTTTAAGATACTGTGTAATTGAGACTGGGAAATTATTTTAATCATTTTGATTTATTTTTAAATTCTAGTATTCCTGTTAATGCAAAGAAAACAAGTACAGCAAGCAGCGGAGACAACTATGTTACTTTGTGGAGAAACTATCTTATTCTCTGTTTTGGAGTAGCAAAGCCCAGTATTATGAGTCCAGGACACTTGCGTGCTTCAACACCAGAGATCATGGCTACCACTCCTGATGGAACAGTGAACTATGATAATAAGGTGATGCATCCCGTTTCAAATAAATTATTAATTTAGGAGAATTTTAAACTGCACCTGCATGCAAAATCATATACGGATGAAAGTATTTCAGTTAGGGGAATATTTTGATATATGCAAACTGCTTACGGCACATAATTAACAATTAAATCATCTGTATAAGCTGTATCGACATGATGTATCAATAAATATTTGGCAAAAGCCATGGCATTTTCAAAACATTACTTTTTTTTTTTTCACGTTCAGGGTGATGTATATTCAAACTTTAGTTTATCATCCCCCTTTTTTCTTTGTAGAGCACTCCAGTTTGTAAATTTATAACATTATTAAGCAACAAGGCAGATTTCTGAATAACCATTGTATGCCTGGTGGCCATGAAGGAATATTATGTGAAATACAGTTTCAAGCAGTAGCAATCTGAGAGGAGCAGTAGTTCCACAAATGCAATTACTGGAATATTTAATGAAACAACAAATTAAAGTAAATTACAATAATCTGCGTGAAAGCAAAGATATTTCCCAGATGTATTTATTTGCTAGGCCTTATTGAGGTGATTGTGATGCAGCAGACAGTTAGGCAAATGCATTAATATCCATAATAGTAAAATAATTTCAGTCTGGTTTTTAAATACATATTGATTATTGGACCATTTTTTTGTTCAAAAAAATTGTATTTACTTAATATTCATAATCCTGACAACTAAATGTCACTGATTTCTTAATATATTTTAGGCTATTGGAACTCCATCTGTTGGAGTCTTACTAAAGCAGCTAGTGCCTTTGATGAGACTTGAAAGCATAGAAATAACAGAATCACTTGTATTAGGATTTGGAAGAACAAATTCCCTTGTTTTCAGGTACTTCCCCGTTTATCATATTCTCAATTATTTGCCTCTAATTCAAATGCATTATTTTTGCTGTAATTTAAATATACCCAAATTTTTAATTGCAATTTAGACAGTTTTATGTATTGAATAAAATATTGATGCTTTTCAGAGGCGATTAGATTTTGTTTACAAAGATTTATTTTTTTTCATTTAGGGAATTAGTAGAAGAACTTCACCCACTAATGAAAGAAGCCCTAGAAAGAAGACCAGAGGTTAGTTACGGAAAATAAATGCGCTAGTTTGTTTAAACTGCAAAATTAATTTAAAAGTAGTAATTTTGTCTCTTTGAAATACAAATGTATTCTTTCGTACTAAGTAACAAGGTAAGCTCTGTGTGCAACAAGAATTTTATTAGTTGTGTATAAGAACATAACTTAAAATAATTCCTTTAAAACCTAGTTTAATTTAAATTCTATCAGTGATACAAAATGTACAATACAGAAATCTGTCCTGAGGAAAATTTGCAGTCAAATATGGAACCTCCTCATATGGAACTCGGATATATTGGAAATGCACTTTCAATATCTGGAAAAAATACACAGCTGGGCTACAACCACATTTTGCAGCAGTGTTCAGATGTGCTTTTTATTCGCAAGGTAGGCAGGGTCATCTGTTCCCACTTCAACCGACTACATTTTTTATTCTAAATACAACAGGTTAACTAGCAAATTCATCAGTGTTTTCACCTTCATCATAGTACTCTCTTTTGTTGTAACAGAAAGTAGTGCCAGAAGGGATTCCAACAGATCATCCAATCTGTCCAAGGGAGGATGAACTAATCTTGTGTCATTCCTGACAGATGTTGTCTAAACAGTTCTTAAAAACCTCTGGTGATAGACTCTGTAGCCTCAGTAAGCAGTTTAGTCATAGGAAGTATATATGTGGCTAAATGGGAAAGCCATGTGGAGAGCTTCAGTACTGGTCTTGAGTTGCCGTTCTGCTCAATTTTCCTTCCCTGGCTCAGTTTTGGCCCGTTGCAGCTGGCTCCAAGACAGAAACCTGAGATGGCTCTGGAGGTAGCTCACTCCCAGGAGCCAGCCCCAGAAGGCACCAAGCCACCAGACACAGTCATCCAATCTACCCCAGCTGCTTTTGCTCTTGATATGCTTCCCCCGATCCCCTGCCTCCCTGTTTGCAACAGCCAATGGGCCAAGGTGCAAAACCCCAGCTATGGCTACAGCACAGCCCTCGGCTTAGAGCAGGCAGTTTGTGGTAAGAAAACACACAGTGATAATGTCTTGGGTCAAAGAAGCATTTTATGAGTCCCGGTCTCGCTAGGCAACATGGACATAGCCAGCCTTCTTGATGTCTTCCCGAGCGACGTGAATATGAGGCAGCCTGTGCTACTTGACTTTAGGGCCCCAAGTGGTCCCTGTCTCTGTGTACTGGTGTAGACACAGCCACTGTGTCCATCAAGCTCTGCTGAGAAGTCTGCACGGCTGTGTGCAGAAGGCGATGCTGTTGCGTTAATACTGACCTCTACCCAGGCTTGTTTACCTGGTTCTCAAGCAATTTCCATCTGTGTTTTCACTACTCTGTCCTCCACACCAGTTTCAATAAGGTATCATCATGGTGACCTGATGTGCTGTCCTCCTCTGCCAAGTCATAGTCTTTGGTGCAGAAACCACACAGAGAATGGTGGTCAGGAAGAAGTTAAATCATTAATAGATCGACAGAGGCTCTCAGCTATTTGTACGGAAATAGACAAAAATTAATTCACCGGGTGGGCGCTTCATTCGTGTTAAATTAGATGTAGACAATTCTTAATAATTCTGTGGCTGGCAAACATCCACTGCCATTTCCACTCTGTGTTGCTTCACACCTCAATTCACTTGTGTGCCTTTCGTCTCTATGAAGTCATTGACTTGAAGGTCACTTGTTTTGATACTGAGCAGAAAGTGGATTAATGCACATTAGTGCAGTCACTTGCCTCTGCATTTCTGCCTGTGCACCATAGAAGACAACTGAGACTTGGAAGGCCTTCTTTGGAGAAGTACATATCCAGTCCACCCTCAGGAAAGGAATCATAAGAATGCAGAGGTTTACAGTGTGCTGTAAGAGCAAATTTAGCACACGGAAATGTCAGGAGAGGAATATGAGAACAAGAGACAGCAATGTTAATTGCTGTATTGCTCCTGATACAAAGAGCTGGACCACCTTCCTGCAAGCAGCATCACCAGTAAACCCAGGAGTGACTGTATGGAGCGTGTAGCTGTAGAGAACATAGCAGGCCTCCATGTCAGCAGGCAGGTGTCCAACACGTCAAAAATAACATCCTTGAACTGACATATGCTGTGACTAGAAAGAGAATTACCGGCACAGCCAGAACTGCAGGGGTAGACCAGAATGGACATTACCCAGGATCTGCCCTGTGGGCACTGGCAGAGAGCTTGCCAGATCACCTGACACTGCTGCAGGAGGCATCCGTGCCTCTTAAATAATATATTACAGTAAAACTGCTTCTTTCTCTACATGTGCTTCCTGGAACCTTTAAGGTGTAAAGGGAGAAAAACAGGGCTTTGAATAGGACAAATCAATACCAGGGAAAGTATCATTTTCGTCTCCCACAGATCTGCTGCTGGCCATCAGCAGAGCCAGAGACTAGATGAGATAAGCCTGTGTTCTGACTCAGTGTTGTACATTCTCATTTTTACATTCTGAAGAGGAAAATCTGAGCTTTTTCTGAGCTTTTCTTGCTCTGGCAGCAAATTTCTTTGAGTGTGATAGCAGCTTTTTGACCTCACATTTTTTGCTTAGTGGAGATGCAGGATACAAAGAAACAAGTCAATTTAGCCCTTCAGCAAAGAACAGGCCTTGTTGCCGGTCTTTCAAGAAAAGACAGGAGACAGAAAGGACAGCTTGCTTAGAAGACAATGAGATACAATGAACCAGTTGACAGCAGTGCAGTCCTGTTGCACTGGAGGAGTATGTTAACTGTGCATACAACCACTGCAGTCAACACATCCAAGAGTGTACTGGAGTGGTGTCTGCTAGGAGCTAACTTGAATAAGGGTGATCATGTAGCTGCAGCATTACCAAGTTCAAGAATGGCTAATCACTAAAATTTTCCTGGGGCCTGAATATCTGTTCTGCACTTCAAAATGCTTCCAGCACCCAAACTAGATGGTGTTAAGCTAACGTGAATGTCCCTGCTGCCTGAAGATAGCATGGTTTTTGGCACAGGAGCCTTGAATATTAATTATTTTTTATCCTGTACTTCATTATTTCATTTCCACATTTACAATAAGGACTAAGATAGCTGTTAACAGTTTGTTCAAGAATAGTTAGAAAGATGAAAATTTGATGATGTTTAGTTCTGTGTTGATGTATAGGCACAGTGTTATGATGAAATATCCAAAAGCAGTCAAGTTCCCTTGTGAAGAAGATACTTGAACTGGAATTCTTAAGTCTCACTACTGTGCTGACATTTCTGAAGTTGCTATTTTTTAATGTATGCACATATGCATATAAAAAATGCTTGTTTTTTTTTTCAACTCCAAGAACAAGAAACGTCGAGAACGCCGAGATCTACTAAGACTACAGTTACTACGAATTTTTGAACTACTTGCTGATGCTGGTGTTATAAGTGACAGGTAAGACTATCACTCATCATAAATACTGATCTCTAAGTGAAATAGTTGTCAGTGTTTACAACACTGAGTTTATGTCAGTATGATCTTTGAAGAATTGTGTAATTTATCAGATACAGAGACATTTTTATGCATTTCTTCAGAAATGTGTAATATAACTACACTGTTAACTCTATATTCATGTACAACTTTCCTTTGTGCTAGTACAAATGGAGCCTTAGAAAGAGATACATTAGCCCTTGGAGCCTTGTTCTTAGAGTATGTTGATCTGACTCGCATGCTTCTGGAGGCTGAAAATGATAAAGAAGTCGAAATCCTTAAGGATATGAGAGCACATTTCAGTGCAATGATTGCCAACTTGATTCAGTGTGTTCCAGGTATGATGCTAACTTATCTCAACGTACTATGAAACTGCATTTAATATATGTATTGGAAAAGGAATTTTTAATTTCCTTATTTCTGTGCTTTTTTCGCTGCTGGTGAAATGTCATATAATGAATGTAAAGGAGAATGTGGTCAGAAATGTGTTCAGAAGTCTATTAAGAGTCAAATAAAAAAACAGTAAATCTTATCGAAGCTTGCAGTATTCCAATATAAGAATCATCTTTTTAAAAGCCCAGCAAAGAAATTGTCTGTGACCTCTAGGGGCTCCAGATTTCTTTGACCATAAGGCCTTATTTGCTTCCCTTTGACTTTATTGCCAAACTCTTCATAAACTCAGACAGGCCTTGAAAAATGTAGGTAGGTACAGGAAATGTACAATATTAAATGTAGTGAAAAACTTGCCTGAGGTGTCGAGACTGTGTCCCATGTTACCTGACTCCAGTTGTATAGCAAAGATTTCTCCAGTTATTTCATGCTTTTTATATATTGCAAGATCGCTTCACTTTGAAGTCCGTGTAATTACTGGAGTATAAAGTCTGGAGATTTCTCAGCCTCTGTGAATCTACTATCTCCAGATCATTTATGACAGGCCATAACAGCATTGATAGCAACAAATAAGAAGGAATTCAGAGAGTACAGTGAGGGAATAAATAACAAATGTTTTCATGTAAGTTCCCAGTGTGCAAATTTTGTCAGTCATGTAGTTGCTTTCAGCTGTAAGATACATATAATATAAAAAGATACATATGTAAGATACATATAAAATATAGTAATATAAAAGTATATAATAGTTGAACGAGATAAGAAAAAATGGCATCTCTTCTATTCTCATTTAAGACAGTAAAAAAAATCCCTTTGAACTGAGTGGTGTTCTAGCAGTTCTTAGCTGCCATTAACAGACTACTGAATTTCTTTCCTTCACTCCTTTTCTGAATGGTGCTCATGAACAATACAGGATTTCTTTAGTAGTTATTTTGCCAGGAGTATTTGCAAAGGCCTTCCACTTGGCAGTTATTCTCACATTCTAGGAAGCACATGGCGAAGGACGGCATGTTGTATGAATTTTCCACAGTGAAACAGTCATGTTGTATGTTTTGAGAAGATGCAAGATAACTGCTGCATTTCAATAATTCAGTATGTAATTCTATAAAGAGACTGATTTGCTGCTGACAAGACAGCTTTAAAGTATATCAGTAACTAACAAAGCTATAACATTTAACTCCTAGCAAACGAGCATTTATTGTGTCAACATCTATCATCTTTAGCCACTGTTCGTATTGATTTGCATTAGTATTGTCTGGTTAGACTTTGTTGGCTTCCAGCCCAGTTTATAGATGAAAAATAATTGGCCAGTAGCAGTTTGCCAGTCTCTCTAATAAACATAGTACCGCCTCTGCCATCGTGTTTTTGCTTTGGGGAATCAAAACTATTATTTAAAGATTTATCTTTTTTTTTCTCCACATGGTTAAGAATTCATAGATATTTTTCATTTGCACAGATAATTTAGCTGTTGAGAAAATATACTACGTCTATGTCATAAACAAGCAGGCACCAAGTTCCTTTTATTTCTTGTCCCTACCTGTTACTATATTAGAATAAGACATATGTGTGTTTGGGCTTGCATTTAAAGGATTGGAAAAAGCAAGTAAATATTTACCATTAAAGGAATGCAAGAGGCAGTGAAAAGCCTGCTTCTATAATTAGTTTCTTGCATGCTGTTTCTGAAGTCAGTCGAATTAATTGTATAAATACACATTAATTCAGAACTGAAGGTTCTTAGAAATAAGATGCATCTTTTCACTACATTAGATTTTTAAAAGGAGCTTAGATACTTTGGAGTAAGCATATACCGAACATTTAAGAAAAGCTCCCTGTTTGTAGAAATTTGAAATTCATGTTAGCATCTCTGCCACATGAATGTGTACTTAACATTAACAAATCACAACTATTTCTATTTCTGTTCACTTAGTTCACCACAGGAGATTTCTCTTCCCTCAGCAGAGCTTGAGGCATCACCTGTTCATCTTATTCAGCCAGTGGGCAGGACCTTTCAGTATTATGTTCACACCGCTAGACCGTTACAGTGATAGAAATCATCAGATTACAAGATACCAGTATTGTGCATTAAAGGTATTAAAGTTTTACTGTCAAAATCAGTAATAGCAGTTCTCTCGTCAAAATACAAGTAGGTGTGGGGTTTATTTCCTTTTAGTTCACAGAAATTTGGATTGGCGTACTTGATGCAAACTTGTATACTCATGTGTACAGTGGTATCATAGAATATAGCAGTATGAGCCACTGAACTTACGCATTTTTTTGTAGACACTTTTCAAGGCTAATGATTTTCAAAACCAGAAGGCATTTTAAAATTTTAAATAGCTGTTCATTAACATGAACAGTTATCAGATTCAGTGAGAGGATATTAGGCTCTGAGCTTAAATATAGTACCAATTCAGTATCACATGCATATCTCAGGACTATCTCCCACACTTGCCTGGAGACATGCTCAATAGTAATAAAATACTTTTGCGGCAAAACAAGTTGCAACTCACCCACATAAGTAAGCTGAGAAAATAATAGCTTATGTACTGATAAAAGCTGCATCACTTTGTATACAACAATTTTAGTTTTTGCAGAAAGATACAATTAAACAATCTGTGAATTTTAATTGGTTTTGTAGCTGGGTTTGTAAAGATTGGGTAAAATGACAAAATGTATCTTAAAGAATGGGGAGACTGGGCTGTAATATTCCTGCCAAAATGCTTAAACTCAGCATTATCTTGAAATGCAGTAACATCTATAATGATCTAATTATTGAATTCTAGCAAAATCAGCTGTTACGGTTTTCACCAGAGTTCCCTCAAAAATAAAAACAAGTGATGGTCCTGTTAGCCTAGACCTGGGTTCAAATCATTCTGAAAGGTCCATTCATGTTAATTCTTTGTGTAACTAAAGTTCCCTGTGTTTTTAGGCCATGTCAGCTGTCCTCTGCTGTGGACCTGTGTTTGATAATGTTGGTCTTTCCCCTGATGGATATCTTTACAAATGGCTTGATAACATTCTGGCTTGTCAAGATTTACGTGTAAGTACTCAACAAAAGGCATCACTGATGAATAATTTTAATCTCTGTACTGGGGGAGTAAAGAGTTTGTGACTGTAAGAACTATGGCTGTCTACATTCTATTTTGAGCAGGAAACAATAGCTTTATGCAGGTTCTGTCATGGGTTAGGCTGCTCCGGCAACCAAACCCTACACAGTCGCTCACTCACCCTCCCCCACCCCCAAGGGTGAGGGAAAGAATTAAAGGAGAAAACAGGAAACCCGTGGGTTGAGATAAGAACAATTTAATATAGATAAGTACTACACAGCATAGATGCTCACCACCCCTCTTATCCAAAGCCCGTCTCATCCCAAAGCTGCAATCCCGGACGAACGCGAGGCCCCGAAATAGAGAGAGAGAGAGAGAGAGAGAAAGCACTCTGAGAGTCCGAAAGTGAGAGTCGTGGAAGGGCAAAAGCCCTTCTTTCCGGCTGACCCTCACTTTTATACTGGGCATGACGCTGCATGATATGGAATACTAATTGGCGAGTTTGGCCTCAATCCTAAGTCCAAGTACAAATCGTAAGGAGAGTCGTGGACTCCCCGTCCCGGCCATGCTCCCCCCTATCCTGTTGTGCTCCTGCACACTGGCAAGAACACGGCAAGCTGAAAAGTCCTTGAGACCTCAGTGCCTACTGCAAACATCAGTGCGATATCAACATTCTTCCCAGTAAGGGTAACAGAACACTGGAACAGGCTGCCCAGAGAAGTTGTGGAGTCTCCTGCTATGGAGATGTTCAAAACCCGCCTGGACACGTTCTTGTGTGATCTGATCTAGGTGGTCCTGCTCCGGCAGGGGGATTGGACTAGGTGATCCTTTGAGGTCCCTTCCAATCCCTAACATTCTGTGATTCTGTGATTCTTCTCAGAGCGAGCCTCTGAGTAAAACCAAAATACGGAGCTCTTCTAGCTGCTAAAAAGAAGAGCTAACTCTGTTCCAGCTAAAACCAGGACAGGTTCTAATACAAAAGTAATTAATTTAAAAGCATTTAAACAGTAAAAGAATTATTATTTCTGAAAATATAATGTAGGTAAATAATAAGCTAAAAAAATTGCCTTATGACTCAGTGTTGCTTGCAACAGAAATTTAGGCTTTTCATCTGCTCATAAAGACAGGTTAAAAATGGCACGAGCTCAAAAATATTTGTATTTCTATTTGGAGTACTTCCACCCACCTTCTTCAAGTTTATGTGGAATAAGAATGTAAAATCCCTTCCTGCTTGATAACATAGATGGCTGGTGAAACAAATCTGAGTGGAAGTGAGTGGGTAGGTCTTCCAAAGAATTCAAGAGGATAAATGATTCAGGAGAGGAAAGAAAGAAGTTTAATTATTTTTTTTTTAAGATCCATAATAGGTTATTCTTGCGATTTTCTCTTCCATTTCTGCAAAGATGGGTTTCTCTGTTGACTACCCAGTCATATTTCTGTATTTATAGCCGATTGGACTGTCTCTTTGATTAAGAAGAAGTCAATTGGTGACTTACATTCATAGATTCATAGATTTCTAGGTCAAGTGGAGACAGAGAACAATGATATTTCCCTTTGTGTTATCTTGCACTTTGACCTGCGGTTCTCCCTAAAAGTCTCATACCAGCACAGGTGGCTGTGATTGCTAAAAAGAGGCAGATAGCAAAGCCTAAAGGCTTGTGGAACAGCCAGAGGATACATGCTGTAGAAATAGTAATTGATTAGGGAAAAAGAGATTGGACAAATTGAAAGAAAGAAGGGATAGATACAGAGAATTTTTTGGAAATTAAATAGGATTTTGGAATGTTGGCAGAGATGAAGCTGTAAAGATATGAGTAAGTGATGTGTATAATTGAAATTCTCATGAATGCAGGAAGGAAACAGAGAAAGAGAAAGGAAAAGATACACTTTCACTCGACATGTTTTCGTTATCATCAAAAATGGCTAGTTGATTAGTAGTATATACCACTCATAAAGTAACTGGGGACAAAAGTACCTTTTTTTAACTTTTTTTCTTGAAATGAAAAACTTGGATATGATAGGTGAAATTTATTTCCCTTGAGCTAATTGCTATAATTCATGATTTATCGTTGTAATGAAGGTCTGTAACTAAACTGCTTTGCCTATACAACTAGTTCAGATTTGGATGAGACAGATCCTACCCAGTCCGTTACCATTAAATGGCATTTGCAGTCTTTACAAGCAGTTACCTACACTCGGCGATGGAATATTAATAGGCATTAACGTCTGGTGTTCCAGTACTATCCTCGGCTGAAGGATGACAAAGGCACAGTCCAAGCCATAGCTGTGATTTGTCTGTAGCAGTGGTGGTACCAGGATTAAGTGATACAAGGTCTGTAGGGAGAGTTGTTAGGTTGCTTGATGTAGTTGAATTAAACATACAAGTTTTCATACGCCCAGGCTTGCAAAAGGTATTTTTCTTTGTCCGCTTTGCTTCTGTGTTTGTTGAAAGAAGGATGAACATGAAAATGGGTTGCTTTATGAAACTCATATGAAATAGGAAATAAACATTTAATGAATTAGTTAACCAATACAAATGGAAGTTACCCAAGAACATCTATCAAGTGTCGTGGATTTTCCAAAGATTCTGCTTTTTTCCATGCTTCATTTTGGAAACCTCCTTTGAAAATTTGTTTCATTTATGTAGTCTTCATACATACAATTTTCTTTCAAGTGAGCAGTATTGAAAACTGAGTCACATTTCAATTCTGCTATCCCTAAAATAAATTTATGATGAATTCTCAGATTTCTTTTTACTTATTTTGAATAATGTTTTCCCCTTGTTTTGCCTATGTCACTCTAAGAATTGTAGAGAATGAACATATTTAATCTCACCAATAGTGTTTTGACATGTATTTATTTGCTCAGGTTCATCAGCTTGGCTGTGAAGTTGTAGTCCTCTTGCTAGAGCTGAATCCTGATCAAATCAATCTCTTCAACTGGGCTATAGATCGATGTTATACTGGATCATACCAGCTTGCCTCTGGATGTTTCAAAGCCATTGCAACTGTGTGTGGAAGCAGGTATTAATTACACTTTCAAATGTAAAGAAAAATGCAGGTTCAGCCTGTGTTGTAAACAATTGTTAGTCACACTCTTACGTTAACACCCTCTCAAACAACTCTTGAGGACTGTATCACTTTGTTTCAATGATTCTGAAAACAAAGTGATGTGCTTGGAGAAGACACTCTTACTGTATGTATGTTTGAAATCTGTGGTGTTTTTATGCTATTTTGTTCCGGAAGATACAAAATAACCACAACACTTTAATTTGAACATACATCATATATCTAGTTTCAAAAGATTTGGCATACTTTTTCACTTTATAAAAGGAAAAACGTTTCAAATGCTATTAGCTTGAAAGTAATTATTTTGTTCTAACTGGCTTTCATTGATTTGGTTACCTGTTTCTTTTCTGTAGACTGATATCATAACTGCTGCTAATGCTAAGTAAGCACAAGCTATTAAAATCCACACATTTCAATCTTGACAAAAAATAATTTGGTAAGATGTGTGATTAGCATAGTTCAATACTTGGGATACAGCAAATCAGAACAAGCCAAATATTTTAGAATTTATCTGTAAAAACATTTTGGTCTTACAGGAACATCTAGACTATAGACTGCATTATACTGAGATTTTAAAAATATGAATGGAATTTTATGTTTGCGAATACAGTTATTTTAAGATGGTTTTTTGTTTAATGAACACTTAAACATACCAGGTTTTCAGCCAGTCTTTTTTCCTTGGATTGTATTACTTATGCCACTGTGTTGTAAAAATTAATCTTTCTCATACCTATAGTAAAAATTAAGAGTAGTAGCTGCATGATTTACTTTGAAGGGAAGGTTCGATTTCTATCTAGTTGGGGATTTTTGTTAATATCTGAAAGCCATTAACAGTTTTTCCTCTGTTGTCTATCAGCATGTATAGAGAGGCCACTGCTTAAACTGCTTGTAAAACAAGCAGTAATGTATCTCATTGTTGATGTCTGTCTTTCTACAAAGAAGCTACTTCTCTTAACTTCTTTTTTATTATTTTTTAAACTTAGTGGAAGGGCAAAGAGATAGGTGTAGAGGGTGCATTGCAGCTAGTGTTTGGAATTACCAAGAATGTCCCATGCCACACATATATTTGCCATATTTTTTAACATCAAAATATCCAAATAGGCATTCTGCAGCCATCCAGGAGCACAGTAGCTCACATCTAGGATGAGAAATTGATGGTTCACAATTGAATCAGGTGCATTTACAAATCATCATGAAAATGCGGAAACATATTTATTGAAAATCCCAACATGGTGACATGGGAATTGCTTTTCTAGTAATGTTCTCAGTAAGTTAACACTTTCATATGTTTACCCTTACAAATAACGTTGACTTCATAGATAGTGGACTTTTTGAAGTGGTTCCTCATGTTTACTCTTTGAAAACAGTTTTGATAGAACTGTCTGACATCTGGGAATGTTCATGTCAGAGATGGCGCCTTTTCTCCAAAGGGACTGTTTTAATTGCAGCTTGGCTTAAGAAGAAGTACTTTATCCTGGAAAATTTTCATGCTACCCGTCTTCTCTCATGGGTGTTGGCCTACTCTAGAAACAGTTTATGTTATAAATTAAAATGAATTGACAGTTATAGACATAGGTATTGCATTTCTCACTGTGGATAACTCAGTACGTTCCTAAGCATTAATCTAAGGTAATTATAAATAATCCCTTCTTTCTTCCCATTCACCAGATGGTCCTTTGATCAGCCAGCGTGTATTCATAAAAGCTCCCTTTCCCATATTCTGGTAGTAGAACAGAGAAAAGAAAGATGACTTTCTCTTTAGACCATGTTACAGAATAAATCAGAGTGAATAAAATCTGCGTTCCTTACCAACATTCACAAAAATGTACTGTTTATTCTTCTAGGAACTATCCTTTTGATATAGTGACGCTTTTAAACTTGGTGCTGTTCAAGGCATCTGACACCAACAGAGAGATTTATGAAATTTCCATGCAACTTATGCAGGCATGTATCAGCTAATTTTTTTTAAAACAATGAAATGTATGTGTTGTCCTATCTTTTTTTTTGTGAACTTATAAATTACTGTTCATTTGCCTTTTAGTTTTGTTTTGAAAATAAACAATTAGTTTTGTCTTGGCTATAAATACTTATGGGAATGTTTTTATAAAAATTAATGGAAAAATATTAGTTATGCTGTCTTTCAAATTTGGAGAGTATACTCCAAAGCATATAGATCATTCTCTGATATCTGAATTTGAAATGCTGACATTTCCTGAATTCATGGATTTTTCTTCTCTCACTACATTATTTTTTTCTCTTTCATAGATCCTTGAATCAAAGCTTTTTGTTTATTCAAAAAAGGTAGCTGAGCAGCGACCAGGCAGTATCTTATATGGTACACATGGTCCATTGCCACCTCTTTACAGTGTCTCACTTGCCCTTCTTTCATATGAACTGGCAAGGATGTATCCTGAACTTACCCTTCCGCTATTTTCAGGTACCTGTACCTATTTGGCTTATTATCTGCTTTACATTTTTGTACAAATGGTAGAGTGTCAAGACATTTCCACTTGTGAATAGCAATTCTGTTTTATAAATTTAGCTTGACCTGTTTTTATTCTGGTTCAGGTCAAAACAGATTTAGGAATGCAATATATATTTCCTAGAGCTACTTAAACAAAGTACAGAATAGCTATTTAAGAACCTTGCTTGGGGATTCTGTGCCACTTGTGTCATCTTAAGGTAACTTTGAAATTACAAGGGCCCTGGATAAGTTAAAGTGACATTGGCAGACTCTACTACATTAGGTTCTCGTGTTAAGCATGGTCATTCTTCTTACACATACATTTATATAGAAGATACTTGTGAGGATAGAATTCTTTGTTTTATGTAAAGATGACTTTAACTTTGGGAAGATTGATTGCATGTGTCCTTTTGTACCTATGATTCAAAGCACTCTGAGTGATCCCTACCATCTGTTATTTGCCACACCTGCGAGTCATTAGTATCATTTTAATTTTATCAGAAATACATTTTGCCAGTGTTACTGAGAAGAATGTTGAAGAATCAGCTCTGCAGGAGAACCATTCCGAATATACCATTCCGAATATATAAACATTCTGAGACTGTTCCTGGGAACAATTATGTTTTGAGACCTATCTGTCTGGTTTAATCCATCTAATGTGTTGCTCTAGGTTTTAAATAACAGAATGTGATGTCTGTAATCATGGGAACTCTTACTAGCTCTTGAAATCCCTTTCTGTTGTTTTTACTCAAGTCTGTAGGGGCAGAAAGGGGAAGGCTAAAGGAATACATCATCCATTTCTTAGTGCCCAAGATATCATGAATTATAAATAACTGGTGTAGCGAAATTCTGATGGCTCATTTATCTTAGGAAAAGCAAATGTCGTTCATTATTACTGTTATCACCTATTCGTGTTGCTTTAGTGGCTATGTCATTTAAAAGAACTCAGATAAACAGTCCAAATCGGAGCCCCTTGCTATACATCTGGAATCATAAGGAGAGAGAACAGTGTTATGTCTTGAAGATTTTTTAAATCCAGGTGGTGAGGAAAGAAAGGAAATGTTAACTGTACTGATTTTACAGAAGAATTCTAGTAAAGATAGCTGTTGTGGTTCACATTGGCAGGAAGCCTGTCACTGTATTTCTTATCCCAGATTTTCCGAATGCCTTTCCCTTGCAGTGCCAGTTCTTTTTTTATAAACTATATAAAGTGCTGTATATAGTGCTCCTGGACTGGCAGCTGACTCCGAACTTCATAGACCTCCCCACTGGAAAGAAGACTCCTAATATATGCAGGGTGTTTTTGTTAACTCAGTATAGTAAGTGCCTTAAGATTTAAACTGTAGCTTAGAAACATGGAGGCTGATGGGGCCCTTGTAATTCAGCAAAACAGTTTAGTAAGTTTATTGTAATTCTCCAAAAGCTCTTGAAATTCTAGAATAACAGCGAATAACTGAATTATCCTTTTTCTTCTTTATTGACATTTGTTTCACATAATGCATAATATGGCACGGTAACAAAGGGTGACTTTCCATTTCTAAGCCCAGACTATGTTAGTTATTTTAGACAGAAGACTTGACCAATTGCTTGCTATTATTGAGCATTAAATTAATGTTTCTCTTCAGTAATCTCAAGTACATGCTTTTTTATGCTTGTGGTTTGCAAGGTAAAAAACATCAAGTGGTCTAAACCATATCAGAAATCTGATTTAAACCATGTGTTTAAGGTTTCCTTCATAAAGTAACATCTTGTCCTTTTCTACTTTTCCTGTTTTAGAGGTAAGTCAGCGATTTCCAACAACACATCCAAATGGAAGACAGATCATGCTTACCTATCTGCTGCCATGGCTTCATAATATTGAACTTGTAGACAACAGACTGCTCCTCCCTGGCTCAAGCCCTACCACTCCAGAAGATGAACTGAAGGACAAGGATGGGGAAATAACAGTCACAAGTGGACTAAAAGGCAATGGCTGGGGCTCTCCTGAGGCCACCTCACTGGTTCTTAATAATCTCATGTATATGACAGCCAAGGTAAAAAAGACAAGCAAACAAAAAAAAACCAACAACCTGTAGAACAATTTCTGAAATTCTCAAACTTATGTTTCTTAGGCAAAAGGTACTTAGGTTTCTTCCCTCTGATACCAGAAATTTTGCAGTCTGTACTAATCAGACACAACTTTCTTTTTGAAGAAGTTCCTTCACTTTTTCTTTTAAGCACAATGCTAAAATTGCTCTCTTTCAAAACATGAACAAAAAAAAGTGTTTTACCCTTTTTACAAAAAACTTAGTAGTGAGAGCATTAAGGATTAGTTATAGAGGAGCTAAGTTCAGTTCTCTCCTGTATCACCTCCCAGGTTAATGTCTAAGGGAGCAGATGAAAGTTTATTTGAGGGTGAGAATAAGCACCTGGAATTTGTCTTACTGAAGCCCTTGTACTTTCTAGGAAACACTTAAATATTATTTGAAAGAGAGAAAAGGAAAAAAAAAAAAGTAGTATAAATTTGTAAGGTGATAGTTAAAGCATTCTTTTGTAAAAAGGAAGGTATTTTACATCCCAGTTCCTGATAAAGGGTGAGGTATTCCTTTTTTCCAATTACTTTTTAGGTAAGATGTCTAAGCAGCTGGTGGAGAAGGTGCCATCTTTTCCTTCTCTTTGCTGAGATGCTGGCTGCTATACTAGTGTGCCATCCCTGCTCTGGCACTGCTTTTGCCAAATTCAGTACATATGTCTAAACTGCTAAATATGTAAACTCGAAGTAATGCCTGGTACCTATGTCATATGGGACAGAGTGGTTCACATTTCCTGTCGTGCTCAGGGTTAATACTCTCTCAAGCAGAATGTCTGTATCCATGCTACATAGCAGTCAATTCTGGATCTTGCCTCATGTTGAGTCCCTGTGAGTAAAACATAAGTATTATTTTGTGTGCACTTTGTCATATGAAGATGTCTGAAGTAGTGTGGGAGCTGTGCTTCAGCCCACCAGCATGGTTTTTTTATACTTGTTGCATAGCCAGGGCACAGTACTGGCTCATGAATTATCTGATGATACAGAGTCTCGAAGATATTGTTGGAAGAGTGTTAGGGGTTGAAAAGAGATGTGATGCAGTCTCACCTTTGCTGCCTATCAGCAGCAGTCCTCAGAGCAAGGTGCTTCCAAAACCAGATGAAGTTTTTGTTCCAGAGTGAACAAATATGCTTCCTTCAAACCATCTTGATTGACCTAGCTTTGAGGCTGTTTGTGTGATAAAGGAACTGGCACCTGCAAGTGCCAGAGTAGATGTCAGTGACAGTGCAGATGTAGCTAATATGTATTAAATCATTTTCAGTAGAATAACTTGACCTAGAGATTGCTGCTCCTCTCCTAGCAGAGTGTCAGTCTGTGCAGTAGTTAAAGTCTTCTCGAAGTGAGAGCCAAAGATTTTACATAGGAAACAGAACAGCTTCAATTCTAGACTCCCACATCCTGGATGCATGTGCTAGCCCTTTAAACGACTTGACAAAAGGGAATCATTCCTGTGACTGCCTCGTGCAAAAGAGAGCAAAAACTGTGCGTTTTTGATGTTACAGCAAAGAGCTGTCTAATGCTTAATTCTGCTAGGATTTGCTCAGGAGAGAGGTGCTGAATTGTTCGCCACTGTAAAGGCTGAAGCACTTAAGTACAGACATTCAGAAACAGAACTTCAGTTGCTTGATCAACTGTAAAGATGAAACACAATAAACCGTTTAAGTTTCTGATCACCTTTTGAATTTACGTTCCTGAAAAACATTTTTTTTTGTGATTTAAGTCCTTCTGTGGATCTAAACCTAAATGCTTTTAAATAGAATTTATGCTCAGAAGTCTGTCAGGTGGCTTTTGAAAATGCCATTTTGTCACTTTTTACAGCATTTTACTGTTGGTTTTGCATGAGAAAATGCTCTAAAAGAGCATGCCTTAGTTTGGAGTTCTGTGTATTTCAAGAAATGCATGCCTATGATCTTTTGCAGTATGGAGATGAAATTCCCGGACCAGAGATGGAAAATGTCTGGAATGCTTTGGCCAACAATGAAAAATGGAGTAACAACCTTAGGATAACACTGCAGTTTCTCATTAGTTTGTGTGGTGTTAGCAGTGATACTATCCTTTTACCTTATGTAAGTGTTTTATTTTACTTACTATTGATTGTGCAGATTTTAATGAAGAAAGCAGCTATCACCTGCAGAAAATGAATTTCTGTTTCAAAACTAAGAAGTACCAACATATTCCCTAGCACACTGTACAAAATTAAATCACAGGAATAAATGAGCCAAGATACTGAAGTTCAGAAAGGTACTTGAGTAGTGGGAATCTCAGTCTCCACCAGGGACTGCTCATTTCAATCAAGAGGTGGGCTCCTCTCAAGCAAAGAGCAACAGTGCATGTCTGTGTAAGTGGCCAGTAACAAGGACTGGCCAAAAATTGCCAGAATGCGGAATGTCAGAATTGCATAAAAATATGCATTTTATATATACATTTATAATTTTATTAAAACTGGCAGAATGGCCATTCAGAGGTTAAATAACTTGCATGAAAAATGAAAAGAAGTAAAAATACTAAATGCTTATAACTGTGCAGGATATTGTTATTATTCAAGTTAAAACAAAATCAGGGCTGTCTGAGAAAAGCAAGACAGTCCCATTCCCATGTTCCTTATTGCTCAGTTGCTAGATGAAACAGAATCTAAATTTAGTAGATCTTCCAGCACAATTACAATATGCTGGTTTATTAGTTAGTCTCTTTCTATTGATTTCCCTGAGATAAATTCGAAATTGCTATTAATGTGATGAAACTTATCTAAAAAGCCTCATAAGCAGACTTCATTTACAGTTGAAATAATACTTTGCTTGAACTGTTTATGATGACTGCTATGCATAATAGAATAAAGGAAATATAGAAGACGTTGAAAATTTTCAAGATGATGTTATCGTACCGTAGGCATCCTGTTGGTTTCCTTTTATTTGTAGGGTTTACTGTTCTATATTCTCAAATCAGCGCATATATAAGCAAAGTCAGTGTTGCCTCGCTAATCAAAAGAGGAAAGATTTGGAGGTGGAGTTACTGTAAGAACAAGCTCAATGTTTGTGTAAGAAGACAAAGGGGTTGATCCCAAATGTCTTGAGAGTAATGAAGATCTTTCCATCGATTGTGACGGAGTGACAGAGGCTCTCCATTCAGTGTTGACTGTGCTTTGAGCAGGAGGTTAGATGAGAGACCTCCTAGGTTGTTTCCAACTTGAGCGATGCTGCAATCTGTGACAGACTTGGGATCAGTCCCAAAGGTGGCCTCCATCAGGAGGAGCTATGTCGGCAGAGAACAAGTGGAAATCACAGAGATAAGAGACAAAATGAGGGCTGTTGTGTTTCTGGTAGCTTACAAAAGGAATAGGCGCAGTTTTCTAAGAGGAAGGAATATACATGCTGAATATGTGTGCTGAGTATGTGTCTCACTCCTAAGTCTGTAGCCTGATTGGAAATGCCTGATAACCCTGTCGCCTCTTGCCCAGGAGCCCCTCAGATACCTCATCCCCTCATCCAGATACTTGCCAACCCAGAGCTTTCAACATATCATTTTTCCAAAACCAATGCCATCCCACAGCCCCAGGCAGCCTACTTCAAACCCCCTTCCTACCCATAGCACTTCTTCTTTCTTCAAATTCTTTCCAAACTCCCGTGCCTCAAAGCCTTGGCTCTCACAGTCCTGTTCTCCTCCAGAACAATACAGTCCTCTTACTCCACAAAGACAGCAGTCGATTTTGGCACCTCCAGCTTCATCTGCTCAGTATCTCCTATTTTGCCTGTGGGGTTTTCTGCTCTCCCTCCCAGGCTTCCAACGGCTGTTAGCAAGACAATCAGGTCTTCATTGGTGGTGGCAGCTGACAAGATTCCTGTGTTTTCTGCCACCTGTTAGTCTGTGTTTTGTAATGTTGAGTTAAAAGTCTAATTCTTAGATTTTGCAAAATCTGAAAAATTTTTCAACCTCTGAAGGAAGCCTGACTGCACTTATGAGTCACCCCTTAACTGATAGTTTTGCCTGGAGCAGGAAAATACACCGGCCTTATCATAAGCATCTGCTCAGTGCTTTGATAACGCCCTGGAGTTTACAGATAAGAAATCATACCTAACTCTGCTAACTACACAAGACTGCTGATACCATAACCATGTATCATCTTCCATTATCATGTATATAACACATACACATTGGGAAATAAAGACAATTGCAACAGTTTATCAGCACTGTTCCTGCTCACCTGGGCTCTAACAACCAAGCAGTTGCAAGATTGCCAGTTTACCCATCTCCTTTTGGAGCTCTCTGTGCCCCAAGGCAGTCACCAGCTGCTGCATGCCTTCAGCCATCTGTTTTGCCTGTGTGAGTCCAAGCCAAAAGCATGCCTGAATTACATTCTTTTTTTTTTTTCCAATCAGCTAAATTAATTGCTTTGTCTCTTATGTTTCCTTTAAGCGTTTTTTTCCCAGTTCCCCAGTGCAAATTGCTGAGCTGTCCTTTCTTTCACATATGTACTGAAAGATTTCTTAGAATATTATTCTTAGCTGGGATTGTTCAGCCTTGAAAAGAGAAGACTTCGGGGGACCTAATAGCTGCCTTCCAATACCTGAAGGGAACCTACAGGAAGGCTGGGGAGGGACTTTTCACAAGAGTGTCCACTGATAGGACAAGGGGAAATGGGTTTAAGTTGAAGGAGAACAGATTTAGATTAGATTTTAGGAAGAAATTCTTCAGTACAAGGGTGGTAAGACTTTGGAATAAATTGCCCAGAGAAGTTGTGGATGCCCCCTCCCTGGAGGTGTTCAAGGCCAGGTTGGATGGAGCCTTGAATAGCCTGATCTAGTTGAGAGGCATCCCTGCCCATGACAGGGAGGCTGGATTAGATGATCTCTAAGGTCCCTTCCAGCCTATGCCATTCTATGATTCTATGAATATTTACAGTTCAGAAACCTCTTCAGCAAAGACTTTTTAGGGAATGTGACCCCTTCTGGGGTGAAAGAAGCTGTAAGTGGCACTGTGAGCACAACTAGAAATGAGCCTCAGAAAGAAGGTGGATTTGTATCTGGAAAGTTTCTAGAAAATTTTTAGCACAGTAGAGTAAAAGAGACTTTGAATATGTGCATTTTCTGTAAGCATAGGAAAAGGAGAGAAAAGAAGAGGGAAGGAGAAGCAGTCAGGAAGTTACTGTAATTGAAGTATTTAAGAACCACAATACTTCATGAGGCCAACAGGCAATTCAGTCCACTGTGTTAGCTCCACTGTAAGCATCTGCTTAGGGACATCTTTAAAAACAAAGCAAGCACAGAGGGATCCTTCCCCATATGGTCTCACAGCTCCAGCAGTTTATGAATCAAATGTTTTTGAGCCGGAAAGAGGCTTTGCTTTTAATAGCCGTCAGGGTTTTTTTCTCAAGAATTCAGTCTAATTTGATCTCAGTATTTCAACAGTCCTTCTTGCTGCAGTGCATGCAATAAGGTTTGAGGTCTTGTTAAAAGATTTATAGAAATGCTCAGAATTTCTGTAAGTGATACTCCGGATTTTTTAAATCAGGATGTCTGAGGTCTGTATAAATAAGTGCTCTGCCTTTCTTCCATGTGCTATTACTTTGATTACAGATATAAGTAGCTACTTAGAGCCTGGCTTGTTCTTTGTGGCTACAGCTACCTCTTTCACATAACCGTATCTGGAAATACAGGCATGAAGTTTTGGTTGGATCTAGCTTTCCAGATGAGAAGTTTGCTCCATTCAAAAGAGTGAGATTCATCTTCAGTGGAAATGACGTACTTAAACTATAAATCCCTGAGCACGATTCAGAGTTAATGCTGATATCCTTAAATGATAGGTACAAAATTAAGTGGGTTTTGTATATACGTATGTTGTATAGCTATATACCTAAACAGCTCATTTGGGGATGGTAAGTAAAAACTTTGGGGTAATTAGATCACAGATTCATTCTGCTGGGGAAATGATCTTGATATCAAAGCAAAGAGTTTTATTTCTGTATGAACAAGATGGATGCAGTTGTGTATCTGTCCAGAAGTGACATTTGCATTCTGGATCTTTTCAGTACAGCGGTGTAACGTGTTGATTTCTTTGGAAATTCACTTTGTATAGAGTTTAATAACTGTTACTTTCTTCTCTAGATAAAGAAGGTTGCAATATATCTATGTCGCAATAACACTATTCAGACAATGGAAGAGCTTCTTTTTGAGTTGCAGCAAACTGACCCAGTGAACCCAATAGTCCAGCATTGTGATAATCCTCCATTTTACCGTTTTGCTGCCAGTAACAAAGCCTCTGCTGCAGCTTCAGGTATGAGCTAAATATGCTTTTTATTTATGCTCTCATCCTCTTTTGAGTCTACATGTCTTTGAAAAAGAACAATCTCTTACTTTTGCACCCATTCAGATCTGTGTACATCTAAAGTGCAAGTTTCAGGGCCTAGCTGCACATCATTACAGTTCTTTTTGATTCCTAATGTTGTGTATGCTTTGTAAACATATACTTAATTCTCTCAACTGTTTTAATAGGATATTACCAATGTTTGGTGCTGTTCAGAACTCATATGAGGTTGTTCTTCTACCATTAGTTTCTCAGAACAAGAAGTCATCATCAATGCCATGATCACAGCAGATACACCAAAGCAGCAGTGTTTCCTGAAAACAGAGCCTCAGCTGTGTGGCAATTCTCTTTTCAAAGGCCTAGTGCTATTTCCAAGCTGCAGTAGTCAAAGATACTTAAGAGACACTATCCTCAAATTTAACTTTGTTTTACGAAATTCTTGAAAACAATATGTTACATCACCTAAGAATGAACTTAGTTTAAGGAATGGAGATCATCATTATGTTCATCTACCCCTCAAAGCCTGTGAACTTTACGTCCATCAGCCATGCAAGCAGGTCCTGGTTTGTAGGGGCAACAGTGTTCATTCACATGCACAAGTACTTTGGAGGATGATCCCTTTGACTGTGGCTGTTAAAAAAAATTAAGTTATGGGCTTTTATTGCTTTGCAAATACCATCTGCTGCATGTAACAGGTGTTCTTGTTGACATCTCATATACAGGAACCACCTCTAGCAGTAACACTGTTGTAGCTGGCCAAGATAGTTTTCCAGATGTAGAGGAGAACAGAATGGTGAAAGAGACTGATGAAAGGTTTGTGGTTTGTTGTTTTGTTTTTTTTTTCTCCAAAATGTATGTGTTTTCCTAGGCTAAGATGTTGGGCAAAGTTCTGCATTGTTTTGTGAGGAGCACTGATGCTCAGACTGATCCTATCCCAGTAAGACCATTTTAAAAAGACAGTATGTAAAAGATTTTTTTTCAAAAAGAAAGCTATTCACATGATTCTAGTTCCTGACTGTTGTTTAATAATACATTGCAGAGGAACACATGTTAAAACTGTATTGAATGAACTATGCAAAGTAGATCATGGTTTTGTAGAAATTATCCATGAAGGAGAAAGAGAATCAAGAGTGTGTACTAAATAATGGCTACTAAAATCTGTATGAAAAACAGATTTTCATGCAGAAAGGTATGATCACATTTCATATATGAAAGGTTTGATCACACCTTTTGATTTCATGGACAGTAAGTACAATTTAGAATGCAGATTTGTCTCCATGATTGCAAGGACACCTCCTTTGTCTGGAGAAAATGTCTTACAGAGGAAAGCTATGTAAAATGTTTTGCTTAGATATCATATATTCGATTTAGTCTATTGCTGCTTATGGTACGTACTGACAAATGATGAATGAAAAAATGTGAAGCTTAAGGGCCATCAGATCCTCAAGCGTAGACAGATACAGATTTCTTCTTTCACTGAAACCCTCTTATTTGTGTAAGAGAACTTTGAATAACTTCTAGTGACATTAATTAGTAAGTGTATTAGTATTAGGTTAGTCTGTTGTTCCTGATAGTCACTAGTATCCCTTTAGTAGTCCAGCTCACCTCCCATAGGTTCAGTACTTAGAGGTACCGAGACAATTACGTGAGTGAACTTTTCTCTACTTCAGAGCCTTTTGAATTGCTTGCCTTTTACATGTTATAAACATGAGTGGTGTTTTGTCAGGTCTCCTAATTTAGATGCAAGTAAAAAATGGCACTTAGTACTAAGTAAGGTTTCAAACTGATAGTAAAGAAGATTTGACTCAAAATGAAGGTTTTCAAGATATGCACTACAAGGTACTTAAAAGGAAGATAAAACCATTTTTCCTCTGGATTATTTTTTTATTATTCTTTATGTAAATGTTTATGGCTATATAGTTTTAAGTTAGATTTTTGTTTAGTTGATTTGCAGATAAGTTGAGCAAACTTCATCTCCTACTATACTTTAAATCTAACTTGTTTTCAGGGTTTCTTGTGTTAGGTAAATTTTAAATGTGACTCCAAAAAATTTTTTAGCATTCAAATATGTCAGAGTCTATATGATAAAAATGAAAGGAAGATCACAAAGTTCTGATATTGGTGTTCTGATTCTTTTTAAGACTCCTCAGAAAAAAAAGTAAAAAAATTTGCCTGAATTCATTGCTGGCATTTACATTATCAAAGACTCTAGAAGCTGTAAGTGCATCTCACTTCAAAATCAATGTGTCAATCTTAGAATGTCCATTAATATTGACTTCATATATCAAGACATATTAAATAATGTTTACGGAAGGTAATAGATTTTAAACAAACTATTCTCATAAAACTGGGCATTTTTTTTAAGAATATAAAGCTAATCAGAAGATATGTATGTTTTTATGTTGATGCAATATGATGTAAAATGCGCTGCTCTCAAATAGTTAATATGACCTGTATTCTCCATTTGTTTCATACAGGATAGAATTCATCTCTGCATATTTCTTCATAATTTTTTCCTTGACTTTCTTCTTCTTTTATCTTTTTTTATGCCAGATAAATATGTCAGTAATTGCCAGTTTGCACACGTTTGTTAAGGGAATTTATTAAAATACAGGAGAATAAGACAGAAAATGGCAGAATTAAGATGACTCATGATGCCTTTTTGTCACGTCCACAATGAATTTATTGTGCCCTTATAAGACAGATGTCCTTTGGAAACAGCATATTTCAGTTGTTAATTAAAATGCCCTGTAATAATATGTATGCACATTAGTAAGAAATCAAATAGAATGTTGCATAAAGAACCTTCAGTCTTGCTGTGTTTGATATAGTTGGGCTAGCATGGTTATTTGTAATTGGTTTCCTAGCTTTGCAGAAACAGTGATGCTTTTACATCATCACTAGTGTTTGAGCCTCCAGTATGGCTCCTCTCACTCCACTTCGGGCCAGATTGCACTGACAGCACAAGGAGGTGGAGGAAGCCAAAGGAGACCCCCAGTAAAAGTTAGCTTATCATGGATCTGCGGCAGATTTGAGGACAGCTGTGAACAGTTTGTTCTGGCTCTCATATCCCTTAACTCCTGTGCTAGATTTGCTCTGGCAGTTGCTGGATTTTCCTGTTGAAAGTGATCTTCTGCAGCTTTTGCTGCTTGATACCTGTGCGGGCTTGATTTTGGACTATTCAGTTACTGCTTCAGCAGGTTGCCAAAATTTTACCCATGAACATGGGCTGTGGCAAAATACTAGCTGTGAACAGTTTATATGTCAGTTCAGCCTTAGCACAGTTTCTTGCTTCAAGAAAATCCCACGTTTGCAGCATGAGAATTTTCCCTCTGCTAAACTTTAAAAGCTTGTGACACAGGAGCACTCTTAGAACTTCTCAAATACTGGCTGCAAATATCTTTTTTTGTGGAAAGAAACAGCATTGCATTCACACTGCTGTCTACTCCTCTATAAAAAGTGCCTGCTTAAGGAAATGCTTTTTTTGTAGAGTAAGCATATAGTCCAGGTGTTTAATGTCAGCCTGTGTTTTTAATGAAGATTTTTCTTGTATTTGAAGGTTCGGTAATGTAATCAGAGCACATACCCGGCTAGAATCAAGGTACAGTAATAGCTCTGGAGGATCTTATGATGATGACAAAAGTAAGTTCTATTATTCAATTTGTTGAAATTTCTGGTGTTTTGGTGGGAGAGGAAAACATTCTTATGACTGGTGGAGGCTCTCTGTTTAAGTTCTGCATAAACAGTAATGTAGTATCACCATACAGGGAGTGTCCTTATTTTACCTTCATACCTCATTTAATTAATTTCCTTTGTTTAACCTGGGCTCAGTCAAACCTAATAAAAGACGAGAGAACTTCACAGAAGGCAGCAGCAGAGAATCCTCCAGACAGTAACACCTTGAACTTTTCGTACATGGCAAGGCAAAAGACTTCCAAGAGCATTACAGAGAGTACTTCGAATTGTACCCTTTGCCAGTATTTCCCTCCAAGTCAAGGGTTGTTATATGAGCATGAAGAACAGATTCAGAAGTTTCCAAAAATGAGGTCTTACCTCCTCTTTAGCTTTTATCTGCTGTCTGCAAGCGGTTTCTGACTGCACTGTACAATTCTCTGTTAGAGAGGAGGGTAAGATAGAGCTCCTGAGCACGCTCGTTATTCTTTATGTATTTCTACTAAACAGACTATAAATGGACACTTGATGCTCAGCAGGGATACCAAAGAAAGCCAGGATATTTTTGAAAACTATTGAATGACAGTGTAAATTTTAGGACTTGGATGACTGGACTTCATTTCTGGAGTGAGTTGTAAGGAAGCCAATCTACAGATTTTGGATAGGCCCTGATCAAATGTAAAAAAGGCAAGACATTTTATTGACTTTCATCTCTGACTTAACAAAGCCAGATCACATAACATAGAGGCCATAATGTCTTGTCTTGGTGCTACAGGTGCCATTTTGGGACAGTATTTTGACTTAAAAATTAAATATTTGATATGTTCTTTAATCCAAGTAAATTTTTGGCAATACTCTCTGCAAAATATGGAAACACTGTCAAATGCAATATGATAGGATAATTTAATGTATATCAACAACTGTTTTTCATAATTATGAAACATGATATTTGCAAAATACTGTGTAGGTACATAGTGCAGTATTTAAATACACAAAAAAGTGTGCAGCATATTAAACCCAGTGGTTTTTAGTACACTTGTCTTGTTTTTCTTGTGGCTTTCTAGTGCTGCAGCTGCTAAAAATTCTTCAGCAGATGTTAATTGGAGCACCAGTGCTAATCTGATCTGCATGAACAATCTTTCAAAACAGAACAATGTTTATATTATCAAAATATTCTTCACAAGTAGCTGGTTTTGACAAGAGCTTAGAGTAATGAAAGGTTTAAAAACATTAAAATTTTCTTTGTTCTTTCGGAATGTCTCCTTAAGCCAGTGCCCAAATGTTTTTTCCTGCCTGTACCTGGAAGCTTTGTAGTACTGTGACTATTTATGCAAGGTTTGCTTCTCACAGGGATTCCTTCCGCAAATATACGAATACCTAGATTTAAAATAAAATACATTTTACTTAGCTATTGACATTTATATAGAACTGTAAAAAGAAAGAGTAATTCTTATACCATTTGTCATTCTACAAGATAAATAATGCAATCTCCATTAAGAAGTTGCAACTTATTCCCTCTGGCAGGCAGCCCAGGCTGCAAAGGTGTTGGTGGTACAGCTTCTTTCTTCTCTCCGTTCTAGTTGAGCATACGTGTATTGCAGAGGATGTAAATAGGGAACACAGCTCTGCAGCACAGAAGCTCTTTTGTTCAGGCAAATATTGTATGATACGGTGCAAAGTGCTTCTTTTCTTTCTCAGTCTGTACATAAGCCTGTGAAAACATGAGTGAGGAGCTAGGTCTTAGTGTGGATTTCATGAAGCAGTTTTATGTAAAACAAATTGGTAGTAATAAATAATGATTGTGCAGTGCTTTTTATGTGAAAAGCATCTGGCAAACACTATCTGGTTAATCCTTAGAAGATGAGTACGTGAAAATGTTATACTTTGCTACATTTTTAGGTCAGTTTATTCTTCGTTATCTGTAACTAATAAATCATCCTCCAGAGGATGAGAGAAATAAGTAGAGGTCTAAATCATAAAGATCTAAAGTGCTCCTTGGAAGACTAAGACTGAATAATGGAAATAATAAAGTTGGCATTTTGGTAATAATTGGAGGAGCAGCTACTGCATTGAAGGGCTCCTGAAGATCTGGAAACCTGAAGACATTTTGTCAAAACCAAGAGGTGATGTTCATTAGAAAAAGCTAGCTCTGATACTTTTGTAGGCATTAAAACAGTTTTGTTTCCCGTGGCAAGGCTGACAAGCATCAGATACATGCTGTTAAAAACAGGAAAGTGCTGAGAGTTTCAAACCTACCTAAAATGGAAAAAAAAAAAAAACAAAAAAACAGAGCAAAAAATAATGCTCTCATTAAAAATTCACAAAGGGCAATGTTTTGATATATGTCAAGAACGGGCCTGGAAAGGATACTTTCCATGGCAGTGTAGCACAGACTGCCAGACCTGGGAAATAAAAACTGACCAATGCGAAAAAACAAGAAGAATGAGAGGGAAAAAAATACAAGAGAGATGAACAAAGCCGTGCAGCAGAGAGAAGACAGAAAGTGGTGGAAATAACCTCATTTACCCACATCATTGCAGATAAACAGGTGGAAGGAAAAAACCTAGTGTTTATTAATGTACAGCAACTGTCATACTGAAGAAAAGTTAAATACATCTTTCAGAAATTCAAGAGATAATTCATCCTTGTTGAAAGAAAATTACCCTGAAGATGTTTTTTGCATTCCTTA